TTTTCTTTTTAATATAAAATTGTAATTTTTATTCAAAGCTAATGTCTTAATTAACTTTTATATGCTTATAGATATGACACAAATATAAATTATTAAAAAATATTATTCAGCATTGATATAATGTAAATTATTTTTATTTGAAGAGTAAAGAAAAATATGTTTTAAATGGATTACGTATGCCATCATACAAATATCATGGAGCAACATGAGTCGATTTTTCTAGAAATAAAAAATGTAACTAAGCATGCGCCCACAAGATGTTTAATAGTCGAGTAAACGATCGATTGCGGTATATATTGCCTTTCCTATTCGAGTTTAATATTTTCTGTTTATATGCCCTTCCTGAAAAAGGGTAACCGTATCTAAGATTAAAAATCGGAACTATAATATTTTTTAAATTCATTTTTCTCGACTTCAAATACTTAGAAAATGTAGAAAATCGTCTTTTTCCCTAATTATATGTTTATGTAGTTGGCGTAAAAAATACTTTACTTTAAACTACAAACTATATACAAACAATGAAAAAAAATTGTTTATACTCGATTTTATTTAGCTTAATTACATCCCCGTTGTATGTTTAAAATCAACTCACCGTCATAACGCTCCGCCTGTTCGGCAAGCTTTGCCTTGTACACGTTGTCCTCTCTTTCAGTCATCTTGGCTATTCAACGTATCGGCTAGTATTAATGTGTTTTCAAACTTTAACTCAATGCTACAATTATACACTTTATATATTCCAATAAAAGAAAATGACGGATAATATAATGAAAGGATATCTCTTTCAATATATCTTTTAATTTTTTTAAATAATGCTTTACGTCGAATTCTTGTAAACGTATCGAGCGTCTTTCTCAAGATATATTTGATCAATATCACGTTACAAGAGTTAAGTTCACTTAGATATCCCACAGCTTGTGCAGATAACTTACTACAGTTTTGTATCAGGCGCACAGAGAATGAGAAATTTGCTGCTGTTCAATACTGCTACTACGGCAAGATGGCGGCGCCCGTCAACAATCGAAAGTGTCGGCAGTGGCGGTGGCGATAGTGGCGGCGTTAGTAGTTCTTGATGATTAGTAATTTCGGGTATGAATAAATTGCAAAGGTAGTGATCAAAATGAAAAAATTTAACTTTCAATACTTGATACTGTTGAAAGAATTCTCTTGCTTTTCAATCTTAACGTTGTCGATAAATTTTTTTCTTCTTTTCTTTCTCTTGTATTCGACTGTAGCGCCACGTTATACAAGATGACGTGTAAAATACCCTAATGGCTTGGTTTTTCCCTGTTTAACTTTCAACATATATGCATATATATATATATAAACATACAGGAATTTAATATTAGCCAAAATAAAATCAATTTAATATAAAAATATGAATAATTCTAAGCAAATTTTTAGAATTGATGTTTATTTTAATATTTTTATTTCAAATACAATTATTTAATTGTTTCATGTTCAATTCATCCAATATTATAAATTCTTAAATCACGAAATTAGATATTTTTATAATGTTAAAAAAAGAAGTTATTTTAATTGACTAAAATACAAATTTCAAATATATAAATAAATAGATTAAGCATTGTTATAAATATTTATATTTATAAATTTATATTTATAAAATTTTTGCATATATTTGAAAATATTTGCATTCAATCAAAATGAGATATAATTTAGAAAGTTTTAAATTTTAAATATCTTTTTAATTTTTTTAATCAGATTTTTTTACTAATATAAATTATCACCATTTTATTTTCAAAATACATTGAATAACTCGTTGAACATCAAATATTGCTTTAATACAAAAAGTTATAAAAATTAAATATAACTTTTCTTCTTATATTAATCTAGATTTCTTATATAATTTTATTTACTATTTAAAATTATTTTAGTTATGTAGAATTATAAAAATTATATCCATTAGTTTTCTTTTTCCTATGTAATATTACATTTGCTATTTATGCTTATTTACTTTAAATTATTATATTTTTTTCTAATAATAAATAAAATTTTGTAACAGTATTTTCATTTGTTAATACTTTGCAAGATCTATTACTTGGATATCCTAAATATCAAATAGTAGACTTAATATGATAAATAAAGTAAAAAAATTTCATATTGCAATTGCATATTATCATTAAGTTGTAATTTTTTCCATCAATAAATAATTATTTTTTAAAATATTTTATAATACAATTTAAAAGAAAACATTGAACAAATAAATTAGAGAGTACCATTTATTTCATTTTCTAATTATAGAAGAATAAACTATGATGATCTTTTGATTAATATACCTACCTGTCATTATTAGTGTGTATAATGGATGTAAACATGACTATTCCATCTCTACTTGCTATTTATCCTTGTAAAGTAAATATAAACACATCTATTGTACGTAAAAAATGCATTAAAAATTTTAATTAAAAAATATTTTATAAAGTAATGCAATTTAATGTAATATAAAATTACTAACAATTACTTATTGTTAAGTGCATTATTATTTATTTATAATATAATATAAAAAGGTTAAATATATTTATTATGGTGGTTAAATAGTTTTATGGATTTACATTATTTCGAAAATATTATTCTCAGATACAATGCGTTTATCTGTAAAAAAACACATGAGACGAAATGCTGAGAACTAAAAAGTAATACGTCAAAAAGTTAGTGTAAGTACCATATCGTTTACATATCCAAAAATATGTTCAGAAAGAGAAGAATTTATTACATAGCGCCTTTTTATTAGTTTTCTTTTATGAACAAAATTATGGTCTGTATATATTAAAGTATATAATAAAGTATGTAATAATAAAGTATATAATGTATATAATAAAGTAATATGAAAAATTTTGTATTAAATATTAAATTTTATATTTTCATATTACAAACTTATGTAAATATAATAATTAATATAATGATACTATGCATGTTAAAATATATTATTTTATTGTAGAAATTAATAACAAAATTATTAAATCAAAACTGGGTATATATAGTGCATTTATATTCTTAAGAATTCTGAAGAATAATATTATTATCATTGAATGTTAGAGACAAAGAATATTTGGTATAATTTGAAAAATAATTTAATTTTCAACATATGAAATCCTTTATATCTCAACTCTCTTAAATCTTATCTCATCTTAAAGCCAAGTATAATCGAAATTTTACAAGTTATCGATATCAAATTCAAACAAAATAATTAGTCTTAAAGTTATATATTTTAATTGTATATTTAAAGTTACCGTTAAAATTTAACTTTGTAAATATATGTTATAGTATTTTTAGTAAGATGATTTAAGTATTTTCAAAAATGAATATTATATGATCGCTTACGCTTATCATTGTGATAAACAATCTACTTTTAACATGTTAATTGTATAGTTTTCAAATAATTTTATGTATTTTTTTCATTGATTTGCTATAAAATTTTTGTTTTTTGTTATTGAATTATAAATTAGCTTTGAAATAAATATAAAATTTACAATAAAATTACAAAAATGCATTATTTATGAAACAACTATATAAATTAATTAATATTTTTGTTCGTATTACATCGCATCTTTTAGTCAAATATCTAATTTATTTATCTTATATTCTTAGTAAACAGTTATATTTTGTACAAAAAATACATATCTAATCAAAATAGCAAGTAATTGTATTTTATTAGTTAAAAATATCCGTCTTTCCGAATTTTTTTTGAATATCTAAAATAATACTATCAAATAAAGTTGAATATTCAATATTAATTAGACTGATTAATAATGTTTTAATTATTGTTTTAAAACTTTAAAGTAAAATATAGAAAGATAGAGCATAATTCAACTATATCTAAAAACATTCATTTCTTAAATTTGTATTATCTTTATAAATTGAAAATTTCTATTATTTTATTCGAGATTTATTTATTATAATTTTTATTTTATAAGGACAGGGCTACTTTCTAACTCTCGTAGGCAAGTTGAAATCGACAATAGTAACTATAATCGATGTATTTCGCATAGTAATAAGATTTTCAAAGAATAGAACTCTTAAATCTAAAATGTTAAAACAAAAAAATTTTTTAAAGAAGAGAAGTAGCAAAGTGATTCTTTGAGATTTTTACTAATCATGCATTTTGAATAGATACGTCTAATTAATTGTCATATATGATAATTTAATTTTTTTAGATGATTACAGTTACAATTACATTCGATTATATTTTTATATCAATATTTGCATCATTTTTTAAATTAAAATAAAATTACTAAAATATTAAAATATAAAAATATTTAAGAATGCAATTAGGACAAAAAATATTAAAAATATATTATTTTTTCGATAAAAAGATGAAAACCATAATTAAAATCCTTTTTAATTATTTATGCTTTTATCAATTTCTTACCAATAGAAAAAAATTAAAACAAATAAATCTATTTGTAAAAATTTATTTCAAAACAATGAAACGCATATCATTTCGTTACATAAATAATTAAATAATATAAGCAAACAGAAGTTCCTCCGAATATAACTTTTATAATAATACGAATAATGTAATGTAAATGCATATATATATATATATAATTATTCAAAGTTCATTTTTAATATGAATCACTATAATAAAAGAGTATGTAGTAATAGTTAAAAACAATAATTGCATAGATATTAACAATATATTTTATCAAAAAATTAAATATAGCCTAAAAATAGTTAATTTTATTACATTAGTTATTTATTACATTGTTATATCCCACAAAAAATATAATTAATTATAATGTCTTACGTTAGAATCAAGATATTTCAAGCAACTACTATGACTATAAGGATATCCTTTGTAATAAATTAAAAATCGAGTATGATGTCTTTAAAATCTAAAAAATTAATATATATAACATTTTACTATATTTATTTATTAAGTCTGTTTTCACAATATTTGAAATATTTGATTTTACATAATTTCATTGTTTTCTACATTCCAAGAATGATTGGGAAAACTTCAAAATTTATTATAAATTATAATTTTTATGATTAATATAATTCGATAGTATCTTAAAATTACATGATAAATTGAAGTTTTATTATATTTTTTTAATCACTTAATTGTATTTAATACTTACTTTACAATATGAATCAATAGATAACGTAACAAGAAAAGTACTTGTAAATTTGATTGGTTTACAAAAAAGCAACATAAGTATTAATAAATTTTTTTTATCTTTTATTTTTAAATTTGTCCAGTCTATAATATATACTACATTTCCTAAGTCCATACTCTAAAATAAAATGTTAGAAAAAAATAATAAGCTAGCACAATAAATTTGTTAATTTCACGATTACAGATTACTACGTTTACCTGCAATATAATTTCATTTCCATACCAGCAATAAAGAAATATTTGATATAACATGCAAAATAAGTACAGCATAAGTGATATGAATTGCATACTCACTAATTTCATTTTTGATAATAAGTAAACACTTGAACATAATACAAGTAAACTAACTACAAATTGAATAAAAATAATTATCCTTAACGTATTATTTAATTTTTCAGAGTACCTAAAACATAAGTCACAACAATTAATACAATTAAATTTATTATTTTTACACATTATAATTATTTTACATTAACTATTTATATATTTTTTAATAACAGTCCACTTACTCAAGAATGCATCGATGATATTTAACACACTTTACTAATAATTTTTTTGAATCATTGATATTTTTGGTTGAACACTTAGTAACGTCCCTGCCTTCAAAGTTGTTTGATATATTTTTTAATCGGTTTTTTAATATTTGTAATTGCATATTTGTTTGTATAAGCATAGCATAAACTAAAGTATCATTAGCTATTTGTATATTAGCACCTACAACATGTGCAATAGTTTGATGAAAGAAAACAATCCAAAAATGAAATTGAGTTTGTATTTCATAAGGTATCCAAGCTCTAAAAGGCAAAGTATTTGTAGTACTTGCAAAAAAGGATCGAATTGTAATTAGTATACACGTAATTTCGGCTAATATCGTATAAAATAAAGTGACGAATCTATAATAAAAGATAAGATTTTATTACTTTTTATTTATATAGAAAATTTTGTTCGAATTCAATAAAATATTAAATAAATATGTAATAAATTAATATTTAAGTTCATTATTAAAAGTTTTTTATTTCAATAAATCAAAATAACATATAAATAATTAATAATTTATAAATGTATGCATATAAATGTTATTGTGTACGTATATAAATTTTATTTGTTTCAAGTTTCCATAAATTAAAAAAAAATTTTAATATGCGTTTAGGACAAGAATTTAACAATAAGAAACAAATTACACACCTAATTTTATTATAAAATTTGATTTCTATTTTTCGTTCTATTTCGTCAACTACTTGACAGTGGCTATTAATAAGAAGTTTTAGTAATTGTAATATATCATTTCGCAAATATAATATATTTATAGTTTTACAGCAAATATTAAGCATTGACAATACCATAAAACAACTTTCAGCTAAGTCTTCAAAATTATTCGCGCAAACTATAATATCTATTAAGTGACTTAAGGTAAATGTAAAAACTAAAAAACATATTAAAACTGTTAGGCAGTAGTAAATATACTTTTTTATAAAAGTGTCAAAATTTTTTGGTCTCCAAATACCACAAATTGTTAAAATTTTAAATGTTATTGGAAATACTTGCATTATTATCTTATATTTTAAATTTATATATATTTAAGATATATTTAAAATTTAAGATACATGTTATATAGAGTATATTAAAAGTTATTGCTTTTATAAATTTTTTAATAAGAAACTTTATACATATACCTGACATATCTACTATAATAAAAGAATAAAAGGGTTATTAATTATTCTATTATTCATTTGTATTGTGTTTCAAATCCATCTTTACAAATGCTTATTTTCTGAAATATCTATAATATCTATTCATAAGTTAAATAAATAGTATCGTTGATTAGAAAGTAAGATAAATGATAGGTTTAAAAATTACAATATTATATTACTATTCATTTTATACCGTGTCTTTACATTCACTATTGTTATACTCATGTAAATATAAGCGTTATGGATATATAAATTTTTATTTAATATGTAAATATAAGTACAATTAATTTTAAAGTAAATAAGATATCACACAAATTAATATTGTAACTTTTTATATAATAAATATGGACTTATATATTTCAAGAAATTTATTAAAAAATCACACATTTAGTCGAATATATAATTAGAAAGTGAATTATAATTTTCGATATTTACATGTATTTATACAATAATATCTTGAATTAGTAACTTATATAAAATAAATATTCGATTGGATGTATAATTCTGTAATCGATTTTATTTTCTTATAGTATATAACCCTTTAGCATACTTTTAGCATAATTGAATATGTATAATAAGAAACTAATAGCTGCTAAATAAGTAGTGAATTTTTAAAAATCTTAACAATTTGATTAATAAAATAACTTTTAAGTGTACTTCCAATTTATCCAATTATAGCAATAATGATTTTATTTTTATTTTCAAAAACTAAATATTTTTAAATATATATAATCTATAGTTTAATATAATAAACAGTAATAAATTAAATCTTTTAATACCTGATAATCAATGCAGAAATTAATGATAATATTTCTTATACATCTTCTACTAAATCTAAAAAAATATAGCAAGATTATTAAAACAAAACAAGAAATAAAAGATTTGTATATAAAAATGGACAACAAAAGATACAGTATAACGATTATTGGTAATAGTCAATGAAATATAAAACATTTTAACGATATCCATGAAAACCTTCGAATTATGTTAGTTTAAAATCTACTCTCAAAAAAAAACATTTTAATTTTTGCATGGATAGTTCATTAACTAATAAAATATTTCCTAAAAAAATATCAGTATATGTTAAACAAATGAGAATAAAACTGGAAAATAATTAAACTAAATAAAAAATTAAAACTATAAGTAGATGTAATTTGTTCATAAGTATTATACCATAATATTAAAAATATTCATCAAGAGTATTTTTTTCTAACTTATTATTACAAATTAAAAAACAAATAATAATTGAAAGATAACTAAAAATAACATTTGAGACAATTAAAGAAGGGTATAGTATTATATCATAAAATATATTTTGTTCATTCACATTTCATATATTTATACACATAATATAAATAAAATCTTATATTTAAATTTATTATTATAATTTTATTATTACGTAATTATTCAATTTGAAATTTACAACAATGAAAAATCCTCAAATGGTATTTTAAAAGTAATTGACGTGTCTTCATTTGAAAAAAAAAATTAAGGAATGAAAAAAAGAGGATTTTTAATATCTTAGTTAAACCAGACAAACACTTTTTATATGTTAAAATAATGACTATTAAATTTCATAAATTATATTTAAAAACGGAAGATTTTCAAAAATCGATAAAAAAATATAATATAGAATTGTAAAGAAATGATATAAAATAAAGAGAAAAATAAAAAATAAAAAATAATAAATTACATATAGGTTTCATAATGTTATTTATTACTAAAGAACAAATTTTTAATATATATTATAAAAATGTATGGTCAGAAGAAATCAACAAATTAATATAGAAAGATTAAATGCATTTCTTATGCCACAGTATTTTCTTACAATTTACGAAACAATTATGAAAATAAATAATAAATATAAATATAAAACAAATATCAGTCAATTCATTAATTTTAATATAATAACACATAAACTAATGAGATCTAGTTTATGCAATAATAATGGTAAAATATAAAAATGGTATTTACTTTTTTGATGAATGGACTATAGAAATTTCAATATATTAACATATCAACTGTTAGTGGTGTTGTATAATAATGTTTTTAAAGTAATAGATAAACATTAACAAGAAGTACATAAGTTATTAAAAAATAAAATTATTAAAACTTTATACAAAATTTACAATCAACATATTCATAATTCTGTCTTTTTAATGTTAAAAATTGAATTATATATTTCGATCAATATTACTAGCATATCATTAAAAAAAGATACAATTACTAATTTTAGTATAAATTTACAGATTTTTAACGAATAACCAGTAATTTTGAAAAAAAGGCATTGTGTGACAAATTTCGGACAAATAAATTTTAGTTGAATAGTTCATCCCCAATTTTCTATACTATTTAATCTTTCAAAATTATCAATTAGATTTTTAATCAATGTCGAGTCTATCAAGGCAAGTATTGTATAATAAATGTTAAATTAGTATGGTATTTTAATCAATACCACAGTATTCATGATGTTGAGAATTTACTAATCTTTCTTACCTACTTTTTATTCTTGATTAAATCAAACGTAATTTTACATATTTATGTATAATAAAAAGTATCTAGATGTCTTTGATCCGATTTTCAAATTAAAATATTTTCTAATTTTTTTGCATAAATTTTTATATATGACAGAATACACTATTAAATTTATGTTTTTTTTTTACCAAAAACCCCTATGATGATAAAATATTAAAATAGCTAAATAATTCCTCATCCTTTTATATTAAAGATTATACATATATATAATATTTATTTATATAGAAAATTTTATTTACAAAAAATAGGAAATCTATAACATATAACAGCTTATCGATTAATAAAGGGAGATGAAAATCAAACATTTTGTATCACTTATCGGTAGATTACCGACATCAAAATGAAGATTTAATTAAAAAATGTGATTCTTTCTTCTGAGATAAAGGAAGTGAACGTTAATAATAATAATAATAATAATAATAATAATAATATTAATAGTAATATAATAATTGTTTATATATACAATGCGTAAATAAAAATCATAAATCCGTAAATAATTACAAATAAAGTAAGATGCAAATTAATTTATTATAAATATTTGTTGGAAAATTAATTAATATAGTTATTAATTAATAATAAATTAAATAATATCATTAATACAACAACTTTGTGTTTAAAAAAATCTATTTAATAAGAATTTTTGTATAATCGATTAAATCTTATAATTAGAGGCTAAAGATTATTTATATACAGATTTTTAAATATATATAATTTCCATATTTTAGCATACTTGTGAATGAATATTATCTTTACATTAAAATTTCTAAAACAAATTTGATTTTTTTATATGTATAAATACAATATAAACAAATGGTTTTTTAATATATCATTCAGTATTTATACAGATATATCTGCAACAAATAAAATCCTGATTAAGTCTCAATTAATTATAATTTATGTTACAATTTACATTATTACAATTTGAATATGAATTACAAATATAAATTCCTAACTTTTAATTGTTTACTATTTTACACGTTAATGTTTTACTAATGCATAATTAGCATTGGTATTTATTGGAATATCTTATAAAATTTCAGATCAAAATTGCTCAGATTTATGAGCCAATAATTTAAAATTATTATTGCGCATGCTTCAACTAGGTGTATTCTATGTTCCTTGTCTCCATAATTTCATTTAGTATTACATTTTAATGTATATGCGCAGTTTTGTACGTCCTGAAAATAAAACATGTATTAAGTAGATATTTGTATACTTCATATTTCTGTTATAAAGTTTGATATATAAATACTTTCTTTAATAAAGTTTATAGTTTTTTTTTAGGTTATCTACGTATTTAAGTAGTCTAAATATATGAATTATAGACTTTTTTTACCACAATTTAATTCAGCTTCAAAATCTACGTTCATTTATTAGTTTTATTATGGCTGGCAATCGTGAAGTCATCCTTTCGGATTTTCAGGTAATAAATTATATGTATTTAATTTATTAAACATTTTTGAGCATGTATGAAGTTTTAAAACTTGGTTATGAACAAAGTTTCATTATGTATGATGATATTCACAGTATGCCTTGATCGAAATAATGCTTTATATAATAAAAAATATTTATTAGTATTTATTTTATAAAATATAAAATAAAGATTGAAGTCTTGTTATTTAAAAGATATAACTAATTTCATTATGTTTCGTGTAAAAATAAAAATGTTTTAGAATTTTGTATTATTTAAGGCATGTACTGATATTGATGATGTTGCTGAAGCTATTTTACATTTAGAGGGAACAAACTGGGATTTATTAGTAAGAAAATATTAAATAAATAGATATGTTTAATTTTAATATAATTAATTTAATTAATTTAATATATATTTGAAAACTTAGGCAGCTATTAATAATGTAATGCCACAAAATACCCAACAATTACCATCAGAAATAAATCTGGATATTGAAATGATTGAAGAAAAAAATCATGTATCAAAAAATTCTTCAGATCTAGTGTATATACAAAAAAGTAAAAATTCTGATACACAAGATCAAGATGAAGTTTTACCTGGTACTAGTAATTCTAAAAGTATAGAATCAATTCTAGTTGAATCAAGACGGTTAAAAGATCAAATAAGAATTCTCACATTTCATGTACATTATCAATCCAAAATTTTTCAAATTGAGATATCTGATACAAATTCAGTGGGTATGTTGTATATATTTGGAACTCTTATTTTAATTATTTACAAATAAAAACTATATAAATTACATATAAATATTTTTAAATTTTTAGAAAATTTAAAATTATTAATATTTAATAATGCACATATTGCACCTTGTAAACAAGAATTACATGGATGGGTAAAAGAACCTAAAGGAGATAAGACTATTTTAAAATCTCTTGAATTACCACGTGAAAATGAGTTACATATGTCTCCAGTAATAGAAGTAGGAGATTCATCTTCACAAATGTAATTCAGTTTTTTATTAAAAATTGCTAGATGTAAATTTTGTTTTCTGTATTTATTTAATCTTTTAAATATATTTGTTGATATATTTTTATTTTTTTTTACAGAATGAAACTTTCAGATCGTTTATCTACCATTTACACTTTAAATATAAGAGATGAAAGCAATAAAGATACATATAAATTAAATTTTCCTGGTACTTATACAATTTTAGATGTAAAACGTAATATTTATACAATAAATGATGTACCAGTAAGAAATCAATTATGGAAGGGGTGGCCATTAGCTGTAAAAAACGATTCAATTACATTAGCACAAAGTGGCATTTCCATCCCTGAACATAATCTTTCTGTTGAAAGAATTCCTCCAAAAGAAACAAAAAAGGTATAATTTTATTTAAATAAAAATTAAGAATAATAAAAAAATTGAAATAAGTTCTTATACATTTTTTTATATATCAGGAAGTTGTTGATTTAGATAAAGATAGTTTTATAGATGAACAAGAAGATGGTGAAGATTTTGAAGATGCCCCTGAAACATTTCAAGTTGATGATGATTATATTATAGTTGACGATGATATTTTTATAGATTATGTCCAACCTACAAAAATCCAGCATTTAAGTAATGTTATTCATATTTTAAAGTTAACTTTAAGCAATTTATTTAAAGTAATAATATTTCCACAGTACCTGATAACATTGGAGATGAAATTAGTGGCACTTTACATTTTTCAGAAGAGTATACAAAACGATATGGTCTAGCTCATCCAAATTTTTTTACTGGTACCTTTGAAAGTGCAATAGCAGAATCTTGTTTTAAACCACCAAGAGAGGTATTATATATTGATATAATTAATAAATATACAAATTTTTATACTAAACTAAACAATTTATGAATTAGAGAAAGTTATTAGCAGTATATTTACATCATGATAACAGCATTTTAGCAAATGTTTTTTGTACACAATTACTAGGCTTTGAAACTGTTTTACAACTTTTATCAGCTAATTTTGTAATATGGGGTTGGGATTGTACTTATGAATCAAATAAGTCTAAGTAAGTTTTATAGTTATATTTATATTGATTTTATTTTAGATTTACATTTCGTTTTCATCAAATTTAAATAAATTCGATCAATTTATATATTTTAGATTTCTTGCATCTGTACAACAAGCGTTAGGAGCAACTGCAGCAGTAACTATTAAAAATATTGAAGTTGATACTATGCCTGTACTTATGATTATTATGAAATCTAGATCTAATACAGATGTTTTTACAATAATTCATGGTAACGTTGGAGTCAATGAATTACTCAGCAACTTGATAGAAGCTGTAGATGTTTTCCAAGTAAAAGTTCTTTTTTTATAAATAATGTCAATAAAGTTATCAAAAAAAATATTTTTAAAACATTTTTTAAAATAGGAACAAAGACAAAATGATATAGAATTTGAAGATGAAAGACAAGCAAGAGAAAGAGTAAAAGAAGAACAAGATCAAGCTTATCAAGAAAGTTTAGCTGCAGATAAGTAAGTTATGTCATAATAAATAAGGTGTTATAGCATTATTAATATTCAAGCTTAGTTAGATTATTATTTAGATACTAATTAAAATATTTCTACATTGTTTAACTATTTTAGGGCTAAAGAAGAAGCTAAGCAATTATTAAAAAAAATTGAAAAGCAAAGAAAAGAAAAAGCAGAAAATGAAAAGCAAGCTGAACAAGCTAGAAAAGAAGCTCGTAGATTAGTAGTTGAATCAAGTTTGCCCCCTGAACCTGCTCAACACTTGACTGAAAATATTTTGAAAATTAAAGTTAGACTACCTTCAGGCAATTTTTTAGAACGTAGATTTCAAACTAATACTGTACTTCAAACAATTTTTAATTTTTTAATTGTAAAAGGATATCCTACAGAAGAATATAAATTATTATCAAGTTGGCCTAGAAGAGATGTAAGTAATTTGAAAATCATATTTTAATTGCATATTAGAAATTAATGTTATATAATAAACACATTTTGTATTATTTATAATTCTTATTTTAAACAAAATGTAAATTGAAAAGCTACTCAAGTTAAAGAAGGAATATTAATGTTAATATAATAAATAATGTAAAATATTCTTGGATTTGTATAGTTTTATTAATTAGAAAACATTTGTATCGTTGATTATGTATAATACATAATTTACAAGTATTTATTCAACATAAACAATATTTTTATCTTAATAAAAGTAATATTGAAAAATTTAAATATTTTTATTGAAAAACATTTTTATTGCAGCTTACAACAATGGATACAAATCTTACACTTTTCGAATTAAAGTTCTGTCCACAAGAAACGTTAATTTTAGAAGAAAGATAATTTTGTAATTAAAATAAATTAAATTCGAGATTAATGGAACTGAACATCGTATTGATATATGTATTTATTAAATAATCTTGTAATTTTAAATATGTATTTGTTTCGTTTGAACTATGTTTGAATGTAGTGCCCGTTTTATACCATTTTATCGTGTTTCAAGTGTAGTCATTCTAGTAGAAAAATAAGGACATCGCAAAATATTTTTACGTATGAAATCTTTTATATGAAAAATAGTAAATAATAAAAATCGTTAAATTTTACGATGTTTTTATTTATTGTGAATATGAATAACAATCTAATTAAAAATTAAATTGTAGAATAAAGTTTTTGTAAATTATTATCTTAAGTGTATAATTCATAAAAAACATTCAAAAAATTGTACAGTTAACGATTAATTACAAGTATAGTGAAGCTGCAAATACAATATCCCTTTTAAGTAATTTAATTGCTTCACTAAATTTGTTTTCAAGTTCTGTGTTGCCCATATGTTTTACTGCTTGTAAAAGTTGTCGAAGTACTTCCTCCAAACGTCTCATGCATCTAATAATAGAACCTACATAAATAATTTTAATTATGTATTAAAAATATATAAAATGTATTCAAAATAAAAAATTTGTATGAATGATTAACCTTCAAATATATCTGTCATTTTACAAATTTGTAAAAATGTTGCGCCTTTACACCATGCATAAACAACATCCATTAAAAATGGTTTCAATCTTTCTACATATGAGTCTTCATTCAATTCTAGCATTGATTCTCTAGATGCTTTTGCTATTTTCCTTGCAGTGTCTTGCATTTGTCTTAATGGTCCACTTAATTCCTCGATGCTTTTGGGAACTTCACTTGATTTATCATCACATACAAAACAGCTGATTAATGCAGTAATTTGAGGAACAGTCAAGGATTTAAAAAATCCATTAAATAACATTTCTGTCAATAACAGTTCATCAGCACCATTTAGTTCACAAGCAACGCGCCCTTTTAATTCTATAACATCTGTTGCTGTACAATAAAGTAATCGACGTAAAACTCGTTTTCTACATTTTAATTCATCCATTTGTAAAACAGATTTTGCATATTTTAATTCAGTTTTAGCATCTATTAATTTTTTACCGTAATCTTCTTTGATTAAAAACTTTTCATAAAAATCATTTAAGTTGGAATCCTATAAAATACATACTTGAAATATAATTGAATGTTTATTTAGTTTAAAATGTTGCGACTTACTTTATGCATTGGATGGTCATACAGCCTTTTTTCTAAAACTTCTATCCTTTTTATTATATCTTTAAATTCAGTATCTTCTATTTGCATATCTGTAATAGGATTAAGTAAAGGAGGTCCATCTGGAAATCGTTTTTTAACTTCTTGTATCGTTTTTAATACACTCTTTCTATTATCAGACGATCTCAAATCTTTTGGATAATATAATCTCAGGGAACTGATTTGTGAAATTAGTGTATGTAATACAGGAATTACTTCTACTTCTCCTTCTTCATTTTTAGAACAAGGTATTGGAATAGCTTCTGTAGAATCTTTAGAAACATTAAGTAAAATATCAACAATAATAGTTGTCTTTTCTTTTTCAGGATTTTTTGGAGTCTTTTTTTTGAAATTAATTATAATACCCCAATCAAAAATTTCTTTTTCATTTTTAACCTATTAATAGACATCAAACAAGTTTTTGTTTCATTAAAAAATAGCAAATGCAACATTTAACAAAAATTTCAAAATAATAGTATTTAAAAAATAAAATAGTTCTTACTTTTACCATTCTCCCAGGTTGAAGAAAAGGAAGTAAATATTCTGGTTTTGTTAAATATGATCGAAAGTCTCCACTTAGACAATCTAATTGTTTTCTAATATCATGGTAAGATGACATTAAGCTAAATTTTTCAAATTGAATATCATCAAATTTATTTTGTAATTCTTTCACCTCTATGTATTTTCAATTAAATAAATTTATTTTTTAATTTAAAGTGTATGAATTTTTCTATATTATATATTATATATAAAAATAAATCTTACTATTAAATAATTTGGGAATTGCTGCTTGATTTTGAAATTGATAAAAACTTCTTTCTAACATGTATTCAGGATTTATTTCTTCAACTCTTAAAAGATTTAAAACCATATTGTAAGTTAAATGAAAAGCAGAATTAATTGGATCTGGTTTTCCTTGTACAATATCTTTTCCTACGCTTGGACTCACTTGTTCATCAATCATCAAAATAACAATTCCCTTTTCATCTAGTCCTCTTCTACCAGCACGTCCGGACATTTGTATATATTCACCGGATGTAATCCACCGAAAATCTCTTCCATCAAATTTGCGTGGTGCAGTAAATAAAACAGTTCTAGCAGGCATATTTAAGCCCATTGCAAAAGTTTCTGTTGCGAATAATGCCTTAATTAAACCTTCACCAAATAAAATTTCTACAGTTTCTTTTAGAATTGGAAGGAGTCCTCCATGATGTATACCTATTCCACGTCTCAACAAAGGTAAGACATTTTCAACTTGTGGTAATCTTCTATCATCTTCATTAAGAACATCCATTGCATTATTAAATACTTCATCGACTAATTTCTTTTCTTCAGCTGTGTTAAGATCTAATTTAGCAAGTTGCATAGCATAAACTTCACAATCTTTTTTTGAAAAACTAAAAATTATAACTGGTGCAAAATTTCTTTCCATTATCATTTTTACTATTTTAAAAATATTTGATTGGCCAGAATTATTTTTATATATTGAACCTCTACGGGCTTTTATATCACTTTTAGTAGCATCACATTGCAAGCATGATATTGCTCTGTTAAAATTATCCTCTTTGAATTGACCATATTCATCTACTACCTAAACATACATTTAACAAATACTTACTATATTTATAAATAAATTAATGAATTGTAACTATGTATTACAAACCAAATGAATTCCATCTCCACCAATAGGAAATATATAATGTTGTAAAGGTGTTGGTCTATAATCTGTATAAACAACATGACATGGTTGATGATGTAAATGTGCAACCCATTCAACAAATTGACGTGCATTTGGTATAGTTGCAGATAAAAAAACATAGTGAACATTATCCGGTAATAAAATTAACGTTTCTTCCCAAACTACACCTCTTTCTTTGTCACGCATATAATGAATTTCATCAAATATTACCCATCCAACTTCTCGCATTACCTAAAAACAAGAATTTTTTTCATATAATTTTATTTTATTTAAAAATATATAATTTTAATATACCTCAGATCCTCTGTAAAGCATATTTCGTAAAATTTCTGTAGTCATTATTAAAATACTTGCAGTTGGATTTATCGTTACATCTCCAGTAATTAAACCAACATCCTTAAATTCTTCATAAAATTCTCTATATTTTTGGTTACTCAATGCTTTTATAGGAGTTGTATATATGACTCTTTGTTTATCTCGCAAAGAACATGCAATAGCATATCTATACAAGTTTTTATTAATTTAAAAATATTGAATAATACATTTAAATTTTAACTAAATAAAATATTATGGTACTTATTACATTATTTAGGTACATTATTAAATATTAAATTATTTATTTATATAATTTTAAAAATAATTATTAAACTTAATTTAATATAAAAAAATCAAATCGAAATTATTTATACAATATTAAATACAATATAAAATCTTATTAAATACAACTTATCCTGCTGATGTATGTGCAGATACTAAAACCGACTGATTATTTTCTATACATAATATTGCTTCTTTTTGAAAAGGATCTAAAACAAATTTGTATTCCTTGGCTGGCTTATTAGTTATACTTTCCAATGAAATATACTCTTGATCTGATGGTATTGCAACTTCATGTGTACAAGATTCTATAGTATCTATACTATGAACTTTAATTTGAGATTCAATCTCATTTAAACTACACATAAAAATATTATAATTAAATAATAACAAAATATAAAAAAATTTTAATTTAGCTTACTTAGCATCTTCTAAAAGTGTTTCACATTTTAGTTTTTTTATTGGGCATTCGATATTAATTTCCTTATTTTTCCGTTTTAAACTATTCGTTATCCTGTATTTAATAAAAATATAATTTATGAAACTACAATATTATCATTAATTTATCTATTCATATTCAGGTCAGTTTTACATAGTTGTTGAAGAATTGTGAAAATGTAATAATTTAAAAATTTAATTATGTGCATTACCTTGCTTTTACATCAACGTCACTAGCTTCTTCAAATACATTAAATAGATCATCATCTATAAAATCTTCCATTTTTTAAGATTATAATATCAAAACTTGATTATTTAACTATCAGTTTCTAGATTACAAAGTTGCAGCACGCGTAGTAATAGGAATTAGTAACAATAATTAATAGCAACGGAAACCTATTATTATTGGCTATTATAAATGTGGCAATTTTAATATGAAATGCTACAAGATATTCCACCAGATATGAATAATAATGATGCATTATTTTTTATAAAATTCATTTTCTATGAAATAGAATTAATAATCGAAATATGAAATATATCTAAAATTTCTTCAAATAAAAAAAATATAAATAAATTGTATATTATATGTTAAAAAAATTAATATAAGTGTTATTTCTTAAAAGTATTGTTGCTTGTATAATGTACTATAATAAAACATATAAATGTTGATAACTTTGTTAAGACTTACTCTTCGAATGTATACTTTTCAGTAAAGAATATAATGTTACACACAATTTACATTGCATAAATGCTAGCACACTTTCTTCTTATTTGTCCTATTGCTGTTTTCTATTTGCTTTTGCAGGCGGCCATATTCAATAGAAAGTCAGATATATCGAATAATTATTTTTTAGGATCAATTAAGGTTCTTCGAGTACATTTTAAATTTTACATAAGCACTCTAAGAGCGTTACTATCTTTTATCATTTAAAAATTGCTAAACAGAAAAAATTCGTTAATGCAATTGCTCTGCTTGATAATATAATTTATAATACATAATATATGTTATATAATTTAGTAATGATATAATATATTATACTAATATGTGTGTTTATATCTATAATAAAAACAAATTGAATCAATTCATTTCTTACTTAAATTGTATAATTTATACTGTAGGAATTTTTTGTTATATTATTATAATGTAAACGTGCTAAATTTTATATATAATTGAAAATATATAAATTCGTGAAGTATATTATATTGATCATGTGACTGAAATGATGCATGATTATGAGATCATATTTAAAAATAATATTGTAAGCACTTGTTTATTTGTAATTTTATAATGTTAAACAAATTATACTGTCCATGTATGACCAAACAAATATAAATTTAAATTTTATCAATATTCGTGGTAACATGATACATATCACTTATTCAAGCTCAACTCAGATTTTCACATATTACATATCAGAAATGTATTTCAGATTTTTATTTTTATTTAACTTCATCAATATATTTTGTTATAAAATGGAAAAATATCAATCAATTCAGTTGATTAGCATTCCTTATATATATACATAAAATAGCATTGTATATTATATATAATATTATATAATATAATATATAATAATATTGTAGTAGAGTTACTACAAGCTTGATAAGCTCTTGCAATGAGTAATCTGTAGATTTAAATATCTTAGTTCTCTTTACATATATATTGTTAAGCATTGCGTCATTTTTATTTACGCCTACAAATATTTAAATATAGTAACTTTTTTCCAACTTATTAATACCTACATCATTATAATATTGTCTTAATACATCAATTAATTATTTTTATATTATGCTTATTTATTGTTTTATTTAATTTTTCTTTGCAGATTATTTTTAAATTGTGATTTATATAGTTTTTATTATTGTTGTTTATGTAAATACATCGATAACATTTCTTGTAATAAATTAATTAAAACAACATTATTTGAAAATAATTTATTTCACACGTTATCTACAAATTCTAATACTAATAATATTTTTGTAATTTTAGAATTTGTTTAATGATCATAATTTTTAATGATGATAAGTCTTTTATTAAATATTAATAATGTTAATTGAATGTTAATTTGAGCCTATAAGAAATTGTTTTAAATGTCCATTTAATTATATATTTTATTCATATTTGTTTTAAGAACGAAAAATTTGTATACAATTAAATTAAAAAATTTATTAAAAATATTACCTAAAATTTTTTAATGTAGCAGCTATACATATTTTTTTAATTGAAAAAAAGTTTATCTCTTGGACCCCCTTTTTTCCCAAAACTCATTTTTTACGTGAAATCATAAATCTTATATATTAAAACCAGTCGTAAAATAAAGCTAAAAATAATCTAAGAAACTAAAAAATCGTCTCTAAATCAATTACAAATTTAGAATGTTAGTAAAATAAAGAAGGATGACAATGGTAGATTTTAAGCGTTGTAATGGAGTGATTATAATTGAATTATGAATTTAGAGCGCAATATAATGTCGTACGATAGATTTGATTACGATATGATGTAATATCATACTGTATAACATACTACAATATATATAAGATGACATGTATAATATTGCAGTACTACTTACCGTTACTACCACCTTACGCGTATTTTTTCTTCCTAAACACATATTAATAAATGAAAATAGAGTAGACATTATATATTTAAATACTTTCGATATTGTGTTTGGTTAAACGACGTATACAAATACAGATTATATATTTCCATTGAAAATTTTACAATAAGCTTATAGCAATATTGTGTTTTAGCATAATTTATATATTAAAACAGCACCAAGATTTTTCAGTATTTATGAAAACCAATTAGATTAGATATTAGAAATATTTAATATCTTTTAGTTAGTATAACATAAATAATATATTCCATTTTCAAAATTTGCATCGTATTGTAGAGAATGATAACATAATATGCAAGTCACTCCTACTCGAATTCTTGTCAATAGTGTCAATAAGTCATTTGTGTAACTGATTTTATAAATTTAGTAGTTGATTATAATTCATTTTCCAAGTGGAAAATGGTAAGTGAAAGTTTAAAAATTTTCAATTAACAATGCTTTCCTATAAAATAAGATATATATTCAATTGATTGCTAGTTTATTGTTCCATCGAACATATTTTCAAGTATCCAGCCTTGAAATGATTAAAGAAAATTGAGATTTTTTTTTGCTTTTCTCGATTTTCCTCGCTGCGTTCTTTTCATTAGCTGATGTAGTTCAGTAATTAAGGTTATTAAGTAAATTAACAACAACTGAAAAGAATTGCTAAATCTTTTAACTGATGCTATTTTGAGGAAAAAATGTTGAATTAATGATGTATATTCTTATATAACGAATCTTTGATATTGAAGCGTGTACCGTCAATCAAATTAAATACCGAAGATCATTTAGATTTATGTATAATTGTTGGACAGTTCTATAGATTTATCTTGAATAACTTATAATACAAGATTTTAAATAAACATATATTTAGACATTATATGCTTCTAGAAAAGGTAAATAAATTTTTTTTTGATAATCATATGTTTACGATAGTGAGCATTTCCGAATAGAAAAACGCAAATAATAGATGCTAAGAATCGTACAGAATATCGTCTAACATTTATAAAACTACTAGATAGCTGCATTTTTACAACAGTTAACGGCTAGTTGAATGGTTGTCCTTGTACTGATAAAAAGATACTGATCCTTGTGTGACCGAATTGTTTTTCCAAATAGGTGGTGGCGATAATTTTTAAAAAGATATTTGGGAATATTGTAGTCTAGAAATATAAACAGCTTGTATTTTTGCAGAATTCTTAATTGAATATTATGATTACCAACTATATAAATTTTGGAGCAAAAAGTTGATTGGGTTGATCTAGGATGACGATATTTTGTAATGCCTATAGAATAACAAATATTATAATTTCAATGAGTATTTTAATGAATAAAGACAATAATTATACAGTATATTTGTCACTATTATAAAGACTAAATTAAACTGAATTAACAAATTTTCAATTTTTGTAAATCACTGTTTCTATTATCATATGATGAACTTATGAATATTGACACCTTGAGTCAAAGAATATTTTAAACCTTGTTACGTACTTGCTGATTCTAATACTATTGAATAAACCGAAACTGATTTTATTGAATAAAATATGAAAAAAGGAGATTAATAAACGACTAACGACCAACAAGTAACGAGCTAACTATTGGAAGGGCAATGAAGAATTGGAAAAAAATGTAAGTAGAATAGAACTACTAAAAACTTCTTCATATCGATAATTTGTACTGTAATATTTTAAACTATTCAAAAGTTTTCGAGGTATTAATCAATTATATTTTAGTATGTAAACATTTATTTTTAAATAAAAAAATGTGTTGTTTTCTACAGAGAGGCATTTAGTTCTTTTTGCCTATCCTTTTGAATGCAAAAGGCTACAAGGAAAATTTAAAATGCATGTAGAAACATAGATTTAATTGATTTAATTTTATAGAAAATTAGTTGTTCCAACGATTCTTAATACTGTTAGGGTGCATAGTCACACAAAGAAATTTTTCTCCTTTAAAGTTATTAAAGTAAAATATTCCTTTTCGGCATAAATCTAATAAGTTGTAAGGAGGAAAATGTATGAATGTATCATGAAGCTTGTTCTTTCAGCGACTCAGTGATATTAGGTTGCATAATCATACAAAAAACTTCTCTTTTGAAGTCGTCAAAATCAAATATTCCTTCCCTGGAATAAATATATTTTTGAAAATCTAACCTATCGCATAATTTATTTGTTAAGAAAATATATGATTTAATTGTTATATTCGTAACAGTCATTCCTTCTTTTTATAATTCTCGATTGATGTACCTTTTGTACCTCTTTTGTACGTGTTAATAATGTGTTATCTTTTTTATGATAAAATCTTTAGTAATCATCTCCACTTATGAGTTTTTTTATAAATCAATATAGTATATGAAGGTAAATCTGAACATATATTTCATGTTTGATATTATTAAATTACGTAAGACTTGTGGATGAACAGTGCTCTAAATTGTTAAGTATGGTATATACGTATGTTTGTTTCAATACTGTATGATAGTAGAAAAATTTGATAAATATATCTAATATTTATCAAATACATATATATCACATATTTGGAAGTATGTAAAAGCGCACCATAAATATATGTAAATGAATTAAATTAATTAATTAAATAATTAATTGAATTTTATAATTTAACTATGGATCTTGACACTAACTGAAGGGAAAGAAGTCTGACTACAAGGAAACGTATATTCAAAAGGTGATTTATGTAGGAATTAACGAGAAGTCAACCAATATGATTCTTATGGTTTACAGCGTCGTTAACATAAAAAAAATGTGCTATTTTATGCGTGTTTTAGTAGGTTATGATATACAATTATTCATCAAAATGCTAATTTAAACAATATTATTTTATTTATTTTAAAACATAAAATATTATCCATGTACAAGATGTAACTTTGAATCATATCTTCAAAATACGATTTTACATAAAGCAGAAGACTTTATCCTACATGATGCAATTACTTTATTAAGTTGATACAAACAGTATATAGGTCGAATACATAATCATTGTGTTTTTCCGAGCATTCTTTTTTGCACATAAACAAATTATTTTTAACATAAACAGATTTTTATATATCTCTCTTCAAATACAAGATTTTGAAGATTATTATATTTATTCTTTTTTTTTTAATAATAGTGAATAAAATAAAATGTAAGTTAAACAATTTTTAAATACTAACCTGAAATTAAAAATTTTTAAAATTTTTGTATATATTTAACATAATCTTAATAGTATTTCTGATTCTTGTTACCGATAATATATTAATATAATTGATGTAAACTTTTTTTAGACTTTTTTTGAGTACCAGAAATATATCCTATAACAAATATTTTGTTAATCTAGTAGAATATTTCAAAAATTCAAATAATTTTTTTATGATATATAAGATCAAATCTGTATATATACTTTTTAAAACTTCATTAAACATTTCATAAATAGTTGTAGCTTTCAATTATGATTATAAAAAATATTTTTTATTCAAAAATATTAATTAGGTAAATATATTTTAATCAAATTAAATAAAATAATTAGATCAATTTATAACAAAATTTTTAATATATAATTTCTAAGAAATACAAATACCATTTAACTTAAAAAAAACAATCTGTTAAATTTTAAAATAGTTTTAATATATTATTTTATATTTTTATATATTCATTATTAATTATTTTTGAGTTAACCATTAACCGCATTTATTTTGATTTCATAATAACAAAGTACGAAAACTTGAAAATGATGTATTATACAATTATTACTATAATAACGTGCAATGAATAATATAGTATAATTATTAATATATTGAATTAGCAAATCGTTTAATTTTGATAAATATAATTTAAAATTATCTCGAGTATTATATACCAACTTACATGGGTTAATTAATATATCTAGTTTAAATTTAACCTAATTCTGATAAAACAGAGTCTAAGTCTTCTTGCAATATTATGCTTTCCTCTCTTTGTTTTGCTAAATCATCCTTCAGTCGATCAACTTGTGCTTTAAGTAAGTAATTTCCTTTTTTCAAAACTGTTAATCTTCCTTCATGCCATTTAATACGAACCTATATAAATTTATTTTAATTATGCTTTTGATTAATATCAAAAGTATTATTACTTATTATTACTTTTATGTGGTATTGATATAAGTTTGTATAAAATTTTTTAATATAATATTTTTGAAAATTGATTGATTTGTAAAAGCATTTAAAATAATGTTATTAATAAAATGGAATATTTTTAAAAAAGTTTAAAATCTTCACAAATTATATAATTAAAATGAAATAAAAACTTTATTAAATAATTTAATTTAGTAATACTATAAATTAAATACAATTTTATCAATTTTTAATAAGAAATTTATAACAACACTAATATTTTAATTTTCATATTCAAATTATTTAAGTTTCATTTTTTATAAAAATGTATATTTATATATAAACAGATCAAGATATATCTTTATATAAATCAATAGTATTTAAATAAATCAGAATTTAATTTTGTTTATGTTAAAAGCACTAATTAACATATTTTGAAAATATATTATAATACTTACTTGTAATTTATTTTTGCGCTTATCTAATGGTATTTCTTCATCATCCGTGTCTGAGTATTCATCTTCTTCAGAGTCTTCAGATTCAGATTCTTCTTCAGATTCTGTTTTTTCATCTTCTTCCTCATTCTTCTCGTTATTGTCATAATTGTCATCATCATCTTCTGTTTCTCCCATTAGTTTTGCCATTTTATCAACTTCCCTTTGTAAATACTTATATTTTTTCTTTTCTTCTTTTAGTAATTTTAATTGTTGCTTAATTTGCTCTTTTAAAGTTTGTCTGTCTTTCTTTGAGTTCATTGTTTTATCCCTTTATAACAGATTAAATATTTACAAATAATATAAATCTTTAAAAATTCAAAAAATAGTATTTAATTTTTTATAACATCAATGTTATAACCATGTTTTATTAAAAATTCAATATGTATACTTTATGTATTAATATAGTATAAAGAAATTTGAATAAAAACCTTGTTTTTTTAATTCCTTTATATATTTAATTATTGCAAATATAATAAATAAACTTAACTCAATGTTAAGTAAACATTTTTCATTGTATTTTAATTAATAAATTAATTACTATTAATTAGCATATTTAAATAAGATAATACAAATTAAAAATTAGTTAATAAAAATAATAAATTATTTGAATATAATTAACAATTAATTTAATCAGTTGAAAAAATGTTTTTAATAAATATTTACTTGTAATGTTTTTATTAGAACGCATGAATAAAGATTACTATGTTTAATTTCATTTTTATTTTAAATTTAACACAACAATATATTAAATTTTGTAAACTTGAAAAATCTATTTTTCACATTATTTAATAGATTTTGTAGATATTTTTCATGATATAAATAGATATTAATTATTATTAATATAAATATTAGTATTACAAATTGAAAGCAATGTAAAATAATGGTAAAATATTGTATATTTGTTTTTGGTTTTATGTTTTGAATAACACTATTCAAATTTATTAAAACCAATACTGAATGAAGATTTATGAATACATTTTATTAATAAAGTTCTGATTTATTTTAATGTATATTTAAAATTTTTTGTTGAAAATAATTAAAGAGTAATATGAAATATTAAATATATATTGAATTGTACTCTATTAAAGAATTGTAACTTGAATATTTAATAGTTAATATTTATTACATTTAGGGGCTAATAAAGTGATGCATAATGAAATTTATAAAAATATTAAAAATATTTATGTAAAATTCTGAAAACTTTGGAAATACTAATCGATATTACTGTTATCTACTAGTTATATATGAAAAACAATATTCAATTGAAAATTACAATTTCTATGTATAATGTTCAGATATGTTACAACTATTACATCATATTATCATACAGATGAAGATTCTTACTTTGGTACCTAAATAAACTAAGTTTCAAATAAACAATTTCTATGCGATGTAATTAATTTCATTATATCAAGATTATATTTACATTGTATATTTACATTATATTTACAAAATAATGATTTTACTCAACCAAAAAAGTACTTTTAAACAAGTGATTAAATCCTTATCACACTAGGAATAGCTTTTGATGTTAAGGTAATAAAATTATATTTTGAAAGGATATTATATCTTATTTTAGCTTATACGTTTATTGGTATTTTGAATTTTATTTTGAATTTTATTATTTTAGATTATTATTTAAAATTTAATATAAAATTTTATTATTTTGAATTATTATATTGAATTTTCTTATTTATAAATAAGTAAAAATGGTTATTTATATAATTTAGATAATTATAATATTGAAAATATTTTTCTTATTAACAAAAATGAAAACTCACTTTTAATACGTCATTTTTTAATTATAGTAAATTGTAAATACTAAATTTATAAATATAAGAATATAATATTTTATATGCGCTAAAATTTATAACAAACATTATGAGACTGCTTGGTATTTATTAATATTATTATTTTATTATAATATACACATTCAATTATAAATTCATAATTTAATAATAAATATTGTTAAACATTATTTTCATATATTATTCAGTTTTAATAATTTAAAAAATTTTGTTTAATCGAAATAAAAACATTAAAAACAAAAAATACTAACCTGAAGTTTTTTATTTTTGTTTTCATTTGTTTAATTTCTTTTTGCTGTCGTTTTTCTTCTGCGATTTGTGGATCATCTTCTTCACTTTCTTCTTCCGACGTATCATTATCATTTGTTTCACTTTCATCATGTTCTGGTCTATCCATACTTTTCTGTGAAGCAATTTTGGCTATGTCCTTAGCACTTGGACATCCTCCAAGGGCCATTCCTGTAATATTCTTTTTGGTTATTCCTCTATTAATTAATAAGTAATAAAAAGTGAAAGAACCATAATTTGTAAAAGTATTACTATTATTTAATTCATTTTAGGTATCAATTGATATTCGTAATAATTAATTTTAATTATAATAATGGATCACTTTTTTGTAAATAAAAATTAATTGTTAAAATGTCACTTTTTTAAAACTTGTAATTTAAAATAAACTTTTAATGTGGAAAAATAAAAAATAAAATCTATTGCAGACATCTTATTGTACATTAAGTAATAAATAGAAAAACGAACATTATTATGTTAATTTCATCGTACAAAATAATATATTTAGTAGTTATACTCTTACAGCTACCAAAAATATTAATGACACTGACAGCATTAACAATAATTTATATTCAATATTTAATATAATTACAATTATTTTAAATTGCATTGTTAGTAGTAAAGTTGTAACGTATTAAAAAATTTTTTTAATTGTATTTATTTGTTTAAAATGAATTAATTTATACATTAATTAAATGTCCAACATGGTATAATATTTACTATTAAACAACATTACCGGCTTTCATGCGCTTTTCTAGATTAGCATACATTCTTTTCATTTCTTCTAGTTCATTTTTAGCTTTATCCTTTTCCTCAGCGATATTAGCAAAATTTTTTTCTAATCTCTCTGCATCTTTTCTTGCTTGTTCAACTTCTCTTTTTAATGAATCAGTTAGTTTTTGATCTTGTAATTTTTTCTGCTTAACAGATTTTTGGGAATTTTCACGTTCAAGTTCCACTTCAAGATTAAGAATCTTTGCCTATAATTGAAAAATGTATTTATTTTAAATTAACATTTTAAACTTTTTTAGTTTGTTATATATATTTAAACCGATAATATTTACTTTACATATTTTATAATTAATTTGTTTTATTCACATGATTAATTATGTAATTAATTATAAGAACTTTTACAAATAATTTTGTTTCTAAATAAACAAATTGATTTATTATTTAATTTAAAGTCAATGCCCTGCTTTAAAATATAAGTTGCAAAAAAATCATGGAAACTTCGTTTGAATTATGTATAACACAAAATGTCTATAAATAATATTAGGAAAAAATGGATTGAAGTTTATGTTTATAATATTCAATTAATTGGTCGGATATATTTATACTGTTGTTCTATTCATTTGTATGTAATAAACTAATATATATAATTTTATAAGAAATAAGATAAATAACTATGTAAGAATAAAGAAAAAGAAAAAATAAGATGATTAACACAACTTTTATTTTTAATAATAAATATTTTTTAATCTGTAGGAATGGAAATATATTTAACGAATGAATGAAGTAAAAGTTCATAAGCTAAAATTATTTGAAACTTAATGGCTTTATTTAGTATTCTTGCGTAAATATAATTCATCATTAAATTTTACCATCTCATCTTCACAGAATAATCTATTAATAAAATAAAATATTAGTAAAAATAAAAAATTAACATTTTAGATAAACAGTAAAAAAAAATTAATAATCGTTTCAAAAATATAAGTACGAAAGCTTATTTTTGAAATTAAATATTAAAAATATGTATAAAATCAAATTAATCAATCTTGTAACTATTTAATTTTAAGTATAATAAAATATTTACAAAATATAATAATACTTAGCGTAAAAACATTATTTTATTATAAAAACAATTAATAATTCGGTACTCAAATGACAGTTTCATGTATATTTTCATAAATCATTAAGTTACATAATTTCTTAAATACGTTTATATTAAGAATAATAAAGTTGAATTTGAATATTAATAAAATTATTAAAAATTATTTTATAATTTAAAGACAACAAATATTTTATATAGTAGTTAATGACATTAATCTATTAGTCAATTCTACTTAAAATTATTTTAGATATGAAATTCTTGTTTGACATGCATCAATTATAATTATAATTCCTTTGTTTATTGGTTTATTGATTCATACTACATTTAGAGTTGCATCGAAATTATACATTATGTTTTTTTTAATTGACTATACTTATGTTTAATTACTCATATAAAAATATTAGGTAATACATTTTAGAAGATTTTCAAATTATGAAAATGAATGTACAGTCTTAAGTTAATAGTATTATCAAATATAATGACATGTTAAAATTATAATTTCGAAGTATTTAAAAAAAATTAATTTTATATATTGTTTTGAAAATTTTGTCATGAAGTTATTTGGATATAAAGAATTCATAAAGATAATTATTCATAATTGTAGCGTGAAATTATATCTATATTATGAAATCTATGTAAAAATACATGTGCTACATGTACAATATTATGTATGTATAATAATAATAATTATTATTACTACCTGCAGCCTCTTATTTTCTCTTTCCAAGGCTTCTTTATTTCTGAGTTCCAATGCTAACATTTGTTTTGTACTCTGAAGATCATCACGAACAGCATCGATATCGTCCATTTCATCAGGTACAACTTCGTCGACTGGGGCATGCTCTGCTTTTTGTAATTGTTCTTCTATAGTTAATTGTCTACGAAATTTTCTCAGACCTTCTAATACTGGTTTTGATCTATCATTTGTTTTTACACTTTTCAGTTTAACACCTTCTTGAATTTGCTTAAGCAGTTTATTGTGCACATTTAATTTTTCAGAGTCAAAGACAAAATGCGCATCTCCTGTTAAATTGATATAATTTCTATCTTTATTGTAGTAAAATAATAACTTTATGAAAGTGTAATAATTGTACATATAAGTTTTTGACAAATAAGATTAGATTAATTAATTTATGTATGTATATATAGTACAAGTGATTACTATTTAATATATTTCATTAATTCAAAAACTTAAATGTAAATTGCTTGAATAATTAGAAATTTATAATCATTCCAAATATTCTGTCTGTTAGAATGATTTTCAATATACATAAACAAAAAATTAAATTAATTTATGAAAGTTGCACAAATTAAAAATTTAACCTTTGATAAATTATTCAAAAGAATATTTTATACATAAAAGTGGACTATAGTTTATAATGAAGAGTGATTTTTCATTGATATAAAATTTAAATAGGAATAGAAATACTAATTTTTTAAAAATAAATGATTATATCATATGATTGTTTCTACAACAATTCTAAATAAATCAATTTTATAAAGTAGAGTAAAGTAATAAATGTAAACTTATATACATTCACGTGTAGACGAATGTGTGAACAAACATTCGTTTCATGATATATACATTTATTTTACAAATAAGGAAATCAACTTATTATTATTATAACTCTTACAAATTTAAAAAGTATTATTATAAAGTAAGACAAAAATCAAATTTATAAATTAATATATTTATATATTTTAAAAAGTTAATTCATCTTCATTATAAAATTGCATACAAAACATTTTATCTATCGTTTTTTTTGTCTCAAAAAGCCTAGTCTTTAATTAATTGAAGATTTATGTTATCAATAGATATTATTATAAGATAGGATATGTCTAAAATGTTTAAATTTATAAGTTATCATATTTTCTTTTTGGTTACTTGTAAATAGTTCTCAAAGTTGAATTATTTTAAACACTTTAAATAGTACTATTTTTCATGAAATATATCAAAGTATTATGTTAATTTTAATTAATGTTGTAGTATAGTAAATTTTTTATATACAAAAAATTAGAATATTTCATATGTTATTAACACAAAAACCACTTAGGATACAAGAACTATTTGTGATATAATATAATTTATCTTATACAATTTCTCTATATAAGTTACGTACAGAGATATGATGAGAACGTTAGAGGTGTAGGATTTATTCAATATTTAAGTGTATTCGCTTAATATAAAGTATCCAAATATCAAATAAATTATTATAATACTAAGACTAAAATTGTAAAAAATTTTGTTTCATATAATTTTGTTTGCAATACACTTTACAATATAAAAGTTATATTAATAATAAGTATTGCTTGTGTCTACCTTCTGGATCAGCCGTAACTTTAGTAATGACTCTTTCAATTAGGGGTGCACTTCTATCGTTACAAATGACGTGACGTAGTTTCTTGCCACTTTCTACCTCTTTCATCATACAAGCCCAATCCGGACGTTTTCTCGGTCTCGACTTAAGCATTTCTATAGTTTTTTGTTGTTTTTTAGTTAAAGGCTTTATATCTTTCAAAATTGTCCTTGACAAAGGAGGTGGTGGAGGCCTAGGTGGCGGAGGCGGTGTTAAATTTGCTCTCAAAATTGTTGCTGCTCCTACTTATTCATTATTTAATAAATGTTAGGTATCCTTATATAATGCTATTATATTTTTTTAAACAGAATATTTCTATTTTTAAAATAATATCATACAAATAAATATTGATAAGCTCAACAATACTTTTTACTGTATTCAAATTGATCTAAGTTTACTATTACTGTTTATAAAATATTTGAAACTTATACACATATCCAAAATATTCAAGTAGAAAAATAAACCTACCAATTGTATTCTCACTCTTGGGAAGAGTTTTTTCGCTATGACATTTAGATTCTTCCAAATGCAATTGACGTTCAAGATGCGGTCGCGAATTTGTCTCTACTCCGCCATTTTCTTGAACTTTCGAATGAGCTAATTTCAGTGATTGATCTGTATTTTTACCGCCTTTCGGCTGTAAACGAAAAATATTAATTTTTCTTATTATTTTATTTGATTAATATTAATTTTGTTTTATGAACTTTAAATTCATCTATTCTGGTATACATTATCTAGTAAACATTGTCATTTATCTATAGTACATATATAAAGTAAAACGGTTACCCTTTTGTTTATTTTATAACATTATATTATAACATTATGATTTTTATATAGCCTCGTTAATTTCGTACTTTTAATATAAATCATTTACTTCTAATATACGCCACAATTGGAATATATTTTAATTTTAATAAAATGCATAATTTTTTTAATAATTCTTACTCGCAGTCTAATTCCCAATCCAATTCCAGGACAAACGATTTAACTAAAAATTAAAATGATTATTACCATCAATATTTTTATTAGCTATTGGCAAAACATCAAACCAATATTGAATGTATGAACCACTATTGACCTGTGTGACAATAATATATATCGATAAATAATTATAGTTAAAATTGATATACTAGATAATTTTGTACTACCACTGTTAAATAAATTAGTACAATACTTTTTTACAACTTTATGAATTACAGATTGCCAATGACAGAATGCTAAATGAAATCCTTATTTATAAATTTTTTTTATAAGTTTCATTTTAAAGTATGATGGGTTTTGCAAAGATTTGAAATCATTTTATCGCAATCTCTTCAAAATGTGATTCATAAGATGTATTCTTATGAATATCATTAATGAAGCTAATTTCATATTATTATGTTCTGCCAAATACCAAAATAGTTTATTTTATTTATTTTGCTTACATATGCATATAATAGCAAGAAACGAGAAAGCCAATCTATACATTATAGGTTACAAAATATATAAATTGGATAGAATAGGTTTTTACTTTTTTGATCTATAATATAGGACGATTCAGATTTTCATGTAATTACTTGAATTCATTGGCACTTTGATAAAAAGGAATTAATAAACATAAAAACTCTTATAATATAAAGGTTTTTTATAGATTAAATTGATTTTCTTTTGGAAGTCTTCCCATAGTAATGCATTAAGTATTATTTTATGAACGATATACATATACATTTAGGATTACATAGTTAGATTTAAAAAAATATTTTTATATCACCTCTGTAAATATAAATTACATAGTTATCTTATATTTAAATAAGATCTATCAACAATATTAAGAAACTAACGTTAAATATGATTTCGAATCGTTTATTTAATACCTAAGCATAAAACTGTAAATTTGAAAAATTATATAATGGACTGTATACATCAATCTAGAAGTTGAAGTACCAAGTATTTAAAATTAGAAATCATTAATTGTATTAATAATTATTCTCTATGTATATTTAACGATTTCGTTTGACATAAAAATAGTAACAAATTTTAAAATAAGATGTTTAGTACTTTTAAAAAATATCAAACATAATATAAACAAAATATAAACGGTCTAAATTTAATAAATTAATAATAAAATAGTTTCTCTATCTTTTTAATTAATTACAATTTGCTAATTTATTAAAAAATTATCAAGTTTTGATTTACTATTAATTTTTGACATCGAATTACCTATTCTGAAAACTATATTAAAGTTAAATAAGAACCAAGAGTTTATTTTCAAATAGATGAATAGATACATAAGCTTCTTTTAAATTTAACTTTTACCTAGCGTTACGCGTTATTTTTATCACTTTTACTGTTTGTATTAATTTTATAATCATTTAGATATTTTGAGTTATTCGTCTTTAAATATTTGCATTCTTCAATTTTACTAAACTATCCAAGATTCATTGTAACAATAACTTTTACCTTCAGTAAATTTTTTAAAATCATTTTTATCAATAATTAATACATGTATAAGTATTGAGTTTAATTAAATTACACCTATAATTTTGTGTTTTGTTGGTAATTGAACGAATAATTATTAGCATAAATATTAATAATAATTAGCATGAATATTCAAATAAATTATTTTATTTAATGGCCGTAATTATGAAAACGAGCCGTAATTATGAAATGTTTACATTTCCGCGTTATATTTCAATAAACTGTGGAAGCCTTAATGTGCTTATCTAATATTTGAAATAGATGAAAGCATCTCTAAATAATTGTATGCCAAAGATTTATATATTTAACTATATATAGTACTATCTATAGAACCCTTTTCTTTACTAAATAATTAATTATTCACTTAACTATTTAGAAATTTCATATAAATATAAATCGTACTTTTTATTATTATAATTGATTCAATCATGTGTAATAGAAAAAAATAAAAAAATATTTAAATTTAAAAACTGATTTTGATTTGATTTTATTAGCTTAATATTTTTATTAAATATCATAACTATGAAATTATTAATTCTAGTATAATAATTTAATTGTCTTTTAAAAATTTTATGTATCAAAATTATGTACTAATGATTAAATTATTAAATTATAAATTAATATAATTACTTTATTTATTTATTATTATAGTTATATAGTTATATATTATTATAGAAATAGTTTATAGTTAGTATTTTTATTTAAATTTTTACGTTTTCAAAATTATTTATGAAATTTGTATATTGTGTAATAATTACTTATAAAATCTTCTATTATTAATAATTTATATACATCCTAATGGATTTATCCATAGATCTATAAACTAAAAATTCCAAATTCAAACTAGTTAATGCATTATTTACACACTGATATATTAATGTATTCAAAACATTATTTAAATTCTTTTAGTTTTATTGAAGGTTATATAAGTTTATTTCCATTGGATTTATAGCATTATTTATCATTACTTAATTTTACTGATATTACTAATTAATTTGACAATTTATATAAATAAATAATATAAATTAAATTAATTTTGAAAAAAAAATAATTATGATACTACACAGAAGAAAACATTGTAAGGAATATTTAAGTTTTCTAATTATATTTTAATTCAAAATTAAAGCATCAAATAGAAAATCTATATATCAATGGATTAGAATTATTTATCTTTTTTGAATGACTGGATATATAGACTTTAAGAATTTTTAATTTAAATTTAAATTTTAATATTTTTAGACTTTGAAATTTAATAAAATTTCATTAATTTATATTAATTATTTTGTACATATAAATGTATTGCTATTATAGAATAAATAATTATTCATGCATTATATTTAAAAAGTTTGGCTATAATTTAATAAATAAGAACATTATTTTTTTTTATCTTTATATTTAATTTATCCATTTATTTATTAACATAAATTTATTCACTGCATTAATATAAAAATTATTTTTATTATTCCATTTATTAACTTAAAAACATTTAATGTTATATCTGAATATTAAAATATTTTTAAAAAATTTTAATTTTGGTTTAACTATTAATTATGTAATTAAAATTGTAGTTATTTATATTTAGTGATTAATGAATACTATTTGCAATGTTTTAAATTATGATAAATATATAATAAACTTTTTTATTTCAATAAATTTCACATTATTTATGCTTGTAGAAAATTATAAGCTGCCTGATTGAAACATTTGTAACAAATAGAAATTTGAATACGTATTTAACAATCTATTCAATCAATTTAATAAAATTTTATTATTTTTAAATAAATTGTAAATAGAAGCTTAATAAAGTAATTATTACGTTAAGCGTAACCTTTGTAAAAGCTTGTGTATTATCCACCACATCTTTCGAGTCTTTTTGCGAGTTTAAATTCCATGGCGTAGTGGGTAATGGTATTGGTGGAGGTCCATCTTTTACCCAGGGTGGCCTAAATGTTGTTCGTTGAGGTTTTTGACCATCTGTACCAGGCATTATTATCTGATTTAATTTTCTTTGTAATTTTTGTTATCTACAGATTACCTTTAATAATAAAAAGAAAATGTTTTTGTTATTATTTAATTAAACATAAATGATGTGAAAATATTTATTATTATAATACAGCAGTAAACTTATAACTTAGAATTTCGATATTTTATATTAATCAATATTAGCATTAATAGAATATAAATATAATAAAAATTTAATTTTTAAGTTTCAATTTATATACTTGAAAGATAACAATAAATATTTTATTTAAAGAATAAATAAACTGCATAATTCATTTATGTCTAGTTTCTTCAGTTAAATAAGATTTTTTGTTTTATTACATATATGTATGATATTTTTTCAATTAAAAAAAAATGCAGATTTTATTTGATTGTTATTACTGTTAAATATTTTCAGAGACAACAAATGTTTTTTTCAAAAATATTATCGAATGTTTATATGAATTCTGTGTATATATTTTTTTTGTGTGAAGTTGACTAATGATACAAAAATTTTGTTTAACATTAGAAATTCATCTATTCGCTATTGTATGCTACGTTATATTAGGTTTTTCTTATAAAATATCAAGGACAATTTGTACGAAAACAATTAGTGGTAACATTTTGATCGTAAATTTTTCAGTAAAAAATATGAATTTATATTATGTAGTGTTAACATTATGGATATTAATAAAATTAAAAGAATTTAAATACAGTTTAGTGTAATTATTGTTATTATTATAGTTTTAAAAGCAATCTTTTATCGTATTTATATTCGTGTTGTTTTTTATTAAAAAAAAGAAATAGAAATGAAATTTTACAGAATTATATGAGTTAAGTATTCCTTAAATCCAAATAATATATTTTTATAACTACCGTATCAATTTCTTTGCAAATTACAAAAATTTTTTCCATAAAAAATCAATTTTATGATACATATTTATTTTTTAATAAATGTTTTCTGAATCTTTTTATATCTTATGGATGAATTCGTTTTTTAAATATTTCTTTATAAGTATCTATATCTGTAAATGCAAGGCTTTTTTAATGTATTATACATTAATTATTTAATTTAACAATCCATTAATATTAATAAAAAACTTCAATTATCACATAACAAATTTTTTTCGTAGTTAAAAAGTACTTCAATAATTTCTTTATAAAATTATTTATTTTAATCGATAGAAATTTTGTTCAGTTTTGAATAAATATACAGTATTCTGCTTTCGATAAATATCAATAAATGTAATTGTATAGATATATTTGTATTAAATTTATTAAATGTTCTTACTAATTACGAATATGTATAGAAATAAACTGAGAATTTGAAAATATATATGCATACATGGATGGCAGCTGCACTACACTTATTATTCTTAATTAGCACTACACAAAAGCAAATAAATCGCTATTACTATGCATCTTACTTTTTTGTTTTTGGGTAATATCTCAATCCGTATGAATCTGACTGTACAAGTGCGTAGACAACTCAGCACTCGTGCTCCTGGACGACGAAAAGTTCAATTATTGAGAGTGGGATAGATATTAGGGGTGTGGGTGATATTCATGACCTAAATAATTGCTCCGATTTTCTTGTCACAAGTCTCAGAATGAATAAAAAAATTTATCGCATAGAAATGATCAATATTTTTATTTCAATGAATTTTTGAAAAATTTTCAAAGCATTTTTTGTAACCGAAATGTACAAATGTCAAATTTTTGTGGCTAAAGAAATAAGAGAAAGCAGTTTCATTGTTGGTTGAATTTCATACGCCGTGGTTCTTCACGACGCAAAAGATTTATTTTAGGAATATCGTGACGTCACATATAAAAAGTACCAAAATAGCAAAGCCTCTTTCCTTCCTTAAGCATTCTTTCGAATAAAATTTGTTTACAATATATTTTTTCCTAATAAATATATAATTTTAAATTAAACTCTATTATTATCTAAAAAATTAGTACCTATTTAATAATTACATTATATTCAAAAATATAGTGTCCATCTAAGTGTATAATAATTTATTATATTATTCATATATATTTAATTGACAACTATTTAAATTTTTTATTCTAATATTTACTTTTTGGTACTATATTATATTTATAAAGGGAATCTGCAAATCTATTTATTACATTATAAAATTTGTTATTTTTGTATTTTGTATAATTTATTTGAAAATTAATTTTTAAAAATTAATATCATTGTTCTTATAAATATATTATATATTTGAGCATCATAAATTAATTAGAAAAATCTAATAATTGCATCTAATAATTTATAATAGCAAAAACTTGCAAATGTCATCTTTCATATGAACATTATTTAATCGGTAGTGACATATTTAATGTAGACTAATATTCATTTTTCATTTTTCATATTCTCTAGACTTGTATTTATATTTGCTAAAGCATGGTATTTTTCATATGTACTATAAAAAGATTTTTGTTTATGTATTTGAATTCGCGTACTTTTCAAAAAGATTAGATCTTAGATTTCGTTAGATTTAATATTGTTATTGTTTCCTAATAAAGTATACATATCCCTAGATTCAATTATACTTTCAGTATATTACAAATATACCAAGAATAACAAATAAAACAAATAAACATATTACCTCAATAAAAATATAAAGTTTAATCATTAATATTGTATCAATGACACAGTTATATAAGTTATTTCATTTATACTCATAAAAATATTATTCATTTATAGAATTTGTTTTGATTAATTTATTCGATAATATATGACTTATAAATTAACCCGTACATATAACTGTACCTTCTGTATTGGGAACCATATGATAATAATATAATTCGAATTTACTATATTTGTCGTTTGAAACAAATTTTTTCTATCAATGGTATGGTAATGAATGTCTAAATAACTATTTATCGAGCTGAATAATTAAAAGTGATAAATTTACAATAAGAATTTATAAGAAAGCAATTGAAAGAGTTGAACAGTTCTAAATTAATATTGCATGGATTTTGTTTAAAAAAATGTTTTTCGTGCATATTATATAGTTCCTATAAAAATGTTCAACATTGTTGATTTAATAGTAAATAATCTGCTTGCAAATATATAAATGATCATAGGAGCCAAGATGAAAATTTAAAAGAAATTTACATTAATAAATGAATTTCCATCTATAAATATATTTTGTTTAAAAACAATTGTTATTTTTTCAAAGAATTATATTTTCACAGGGTGGAATAATATAGTATTATTTTATAAAGTAAATAAAAATATTATTTATCTATTTACCTATTTTTAAAACAAATATTCAGACATAAAAATATTTAAGTAATTCATATTTTTTATTAAACTGCATACATGAAATTATATATAATGAAATGAAATAATTTATTTAGTATCAATCTCAATATATTGTACTAATTTGAAATAATGATCAGCTAACAGTGTCATAAGCTCACGATATAAAATCTTTACAAAAAACAGCAAATGTATAAATATAATAGAGTAAGTTTAATATCCTACAAAAATAAGCTGTAATATAAATATTCGAATATACAGAAAATAATTGTAGTAGATAATCTATTAATTGAACTTATACGTAGAATCTCATGTATGGATAGATAATTAATTAAAAAATACGTAAAACCAACTCTTACAATTTTTAATAAAAACTTCAGATGACTTAATAAATAACGTGTGTCAATTAATGAGAAATTGATGATTTATAATAAATTAGAATGAATTACTAGTGACTGACTCGGGTACATGGAATGTAAAGATACATTATGCTGCAGATAATTTAAAATAAAATAATGATTTAGTTTTAAAATGTAAAATACTTCAAATAAGTTTTTTTCAAATTAATTCCAGGCAAAATTAATTTTAAAATACAGATTAAAATTTATCTAAAAAAAATTTAATGTATCAAATTAATTTTCAATGTATAAAAACTATAATTTTTTTCATAAAAATTTCATGTTTTTGAGGTTTAAATTCAAATATTTAGCGTATTAGGCAGATTGTGCTTTAAAACTAAAATGTATATAGTTTATATTATATTTTTTACATAGTATTAATTCGTTTACAATTCAATATTGAACTATGAACCTACGTACACTAAGCAAATGTTGATTATGTTGCCTGGTATTAATAGCAATAAATAATACTCGTATTAGTCCACTATTTTGTTGGTATTATACGTTATATACAATGTATCAATATTATATGCATGATATGTTGACACCAAATGATTTTTTAATTTTATGCAACAATGTTAATCATAAATGTATGAAAGAATTGTTATGAATAATTAATAATTTGATATACTAAAAGTAGTGATTAAAGACTTTAAAAATGGATTTACGACATATTAATTACATAGCTAAGAATTTAGGTGCAGGAAAGTTATATTTCAATACCATAAACTAGACATTTTGGTGTTTGGCCTATTTAAGGTTATTATAAGATAAAATGAAAATATTGAAACAGGTCAATTTTATCAAAACTAAAATCAATTAATTTTTCTTTGTCGAATATATATAATTTTTTTTTGTATAAGTAATTTTAAATTAACTGTGCAATTATATACTTCATTTTGTTTTTACTCTAGCCTATTTTACAAGAAACTCGATAGAGCTCTTATAGAATTAATCATATCAATCATCATTTATAAGTAATTTCTCTTTATTCTATTGTAGAAATATATATTAAAAATAAATATTAACATTCTGTACTTTTAAAGTAACACATCACATTTAAAATATGTTAATTAACTTTATTAATTGAATAGAAATTATAAATTAATTTTTAAATTAAATAGATATTTTAAATTTCAAAATAAAATTTAATCCTAATTACTTTAATTCGATTTAAATTACCATTTCAGGCCTTATAAACCTCTAGAGCAAAATTATCAATTGATGGCACAAAAGCGTCATGAAGAATTTCTGAAGAAGGATTACTATATACGAGCAGCACGTTATTTTGAACGAGAAACTGTTGCAGCTAAACAATTTAATTCTTGGACAATTCGAGACCCCAAATCATATATTGATTCATTAGAGAAAATACAGGCGATAGAAAAATTACAAACGCGACGTGAAAATCTGAAGCAGTTACTAATGAAAGAAACAGATCTTTATAAATATGAACTTGAACAACAGAAACAAATAAAAAGTAAAAAAAATGAAGATTTTTCACTTAAAATATTTCGACATAAACTTTTGGAACAAAAGGCAGAGCATAGTCTTTATTATCCTAACATCAGTCGAAAATTAAGATCCTGTCCAATCAGTCTTAATGATATTAATAAGAACCTTGAACATTTACGTTTTCGTAACAGGGACGATAAAGCCCAATCTATGAGTAAAAATAGGTAATATATTTATATATAATATTTTTTTAGTGTATATAAAATAAATATTATATTATTATAATAAAAATTTATTATTATCACTGTTGCAAAATATTTTATATTGTTCTAAAAACTAATACGACTAATACAATAAAATCCAATCAATATGCATATCATTTATTAATTCTTATTAATAATATTAAAACATACAGAATAGACAGAACATACAGAATTTTACGATATATATTTTTTAAGTGTTTCAAATGGATCTAGTGTGAAATTATTTGATTTTATTAAGAAAGAATTTTATTAATTTCATAATTCTTATTATTCACTTACCGGATACGTATGCAAATATGAACTGATTTTTGCTCATAAGTTACTTCTAAATTAAAAATTATTTATTAAAATAATAAAAGCTTAGATAAACTTATTCAGTCACGAAAAATAAATTACATCTGAAATCACTAACTAAGGATTAAACCCAACTTTCGATTTTATTATGAAAAATAAGCAATGCCCCAATTTCAATATTAAAAGTATTAAATTATGTGTAAAATAATAATCATTTTCAACATTTATGTAAATTGTACACTAAAAATTGTTTTCGTCTTACATTTTAAATTTGATTCAAAGTTTATAAATATATGTATGTATGTGCGTGTGTATTTGTGTGGGTGTGTGTCTATATTATACAAAAAATTCAAAATATAATATAAAAAAATGAGGCTTTAAAGCGTATAGATCCATCGTATATGTAATCTGAACAATATTATTTTTATATCTAAATAAGTCTTTTTTCTTTTAATAATCGTTTTTAAAATATAAGAATATTATATATTTTTATTTCTCATAACCAAAGTTTACGAATAAATGTTGTTAACAGTCTCTGATATACTAATGAAAATATTTTTATCTCGAATTTAGATGAATATACAATGCGTTATTTTGTTTATCATATTAATCAATTCATATAGAAATTCTATGATAATGTTCTAACTTTTCATTATAATGAATGTAATGAATTGTTACGAAACTGTGAAGAAAATGATAGAGCTTACTTTTTGACTGGTCAAATTCCATGAGGTTTACAAGCAAAAATACATGTAAATTTAATTCTCATGAATAAAAAAAATAGAATTTTTCAAGTTAGAAAAAATTTTTCATATAAAAAAGTTGGAGACTTATTTGTTTGACTTTGTATCAAAATTTTGAACAAATAGGTAATTGTCAATAATTCATACCATTGGATAATTTACGCGACCTTTCACAGGTAGAAAGATGTAATTATTAGATTGAATCATGTCTAAATACTATTTCACGCGAAGTAAAAATAATGATCGAAGTAAAAATAGTTTTATGTATTATAGTATTCAAGTATTATCATTTATTATAAATATAATAGTTTTTATAATAGTTTTATTCTTAGGATTTTAACTCTAAAAACGTCTTTATAGCAGCGGAGCTAAAATGATTAAATCATCATATTTCTATACTTTTCAATGATGAATGAATCATATACATTACATCATTGAGTACTCTCTAATTACATATATTTAAATTATTCAATAGATTTTCATGTACAACGTACACGGTATAAACTAGTAGATTTTTGTTAACTGCAATATAATGCACTTTACACGCACACACACAATACATATTATATTTTTATTTTATTATTTATAATATTTATTTTTGTTTGTGTTAGTAATAGAAATCGATATTTTAAATGCTAAATATATACAAAATGTACCTTTTGCTAGGATAAATAATTACTTAATCATGCATTGAATATGGGCTTTATTTAGCAATAATTTATAAATTATTGAGATTTCAGTAAAAATATTACGTGTGCAATTAAAAAATTAAGTTTTTCAATAATTTATTCAATTATAATAATACAGATAATAAGAAAATCCTGTAAGTATGAACGTCAGTATGTACACAAAATGCATTAAAGAACTTATAAAAATGAAAAACGATATGCTATGGTTAAGTTTATTCTAAAATCCTAAGAAAAATAAACTTTTGAATATCTAAAGTAAAAAAAAACAATTTTTAGGTTTCTACAAATTTATCGTAATGATATTAAACCTGTTCTTATATTCAATTAATATTATTGAATTAATATTATGAAAAAAACATTTGAGTACTGAACAAATTAATTTATGATTTCCACAAAGGAAAAAGAATATTATACAATTGTGACTTTTTAGTAAATTAGTGAAAATTTGATATATGTCAAAGTTTTTCTAAGTGGTTTCTTTTTAAAAATTATATAGAAATTTGATTAATTTTACCTTTTTAATAACGAATATTAGAGTTTTTTATTTTGTCTAGTGGAATTTATAACTGATAAATATTATGTATATATAATTAATTTTATTTAAGGATAAGTTTCTAAATATAAAATAAAATATTCAGATTTCTTCATAAAACAATAAAATACGATGAATAGGATTGATAAATATACAGTATCATTTTTTCTATAATTCATTGAATTAATGAAATTGTAGTTGACATATTTTTTTAATTATTTGGATAGAAATAATTTAGAAAATATTTAAAAATAAAAATAATCTTATCCATCCAATAGATATTGATTACATAGAAAATGAAAACTATGATATATGATAATATAATAAGAATATGTAATTAGAATTAGTTTAATTGGTCCCTGTTTCGGTATTTTCAAATAAAAGCTAGTGTAGTTCTATGTAATAATTTAAACAACATTTTAATAGTTATATATAGATGATCTACTTCTGCATAAATATTATGTTGCGCGATTTGTTCGAATGATCACATTATAAATGAGGTGATTTATTTATCGGATTATGTTTTGTGGTACTAATTAGTTCTTAAAAAAAAAAGAATAATTAAAACATATATATATATATACGTATATAGTATAATAATGCATTTCATACTATTACCGATAACATTAGAATTTCTGTAGTTCTCTGTATTTATTTGAGAAATTACATTCTTGCAGTATTATAGGTTAATAAGTTCATTCCAGTAACTGAAATTCTTTAATTTTGATATTATTAAAGTATTAAATATATAATAAAATTTATAAAAGTTGTAACACTTAATTTTTTAAATAATCATGTATTTGTATATCTATCTATCTATATATATATAGCTACCAAATAAATTTTTTATTACAACTCAACTATTGAATTAGTAGATAAATTCGAGTATTTACAGTAGTTTACAGTAGTCTTGCATTTGATAAAAAATGTAGTTTATCAAGTCCCAAAATCGATCTGAGATGTGGAAGAATTTTATTAGTGTCAAACTGGTAACGATTAATTTTACATTCTCTAAATTAATTTTTCTGTTTTGAATAATCAATAATCCAATAATCCGAATTAATTTTAACAATACATTGTTTTCATATTATTCTATTAATAAATTTAATTGATTATTTCTACTAGTTGATATTTTCTAATGTTAATTTAAATTGATAATAATTTTCTTGATTTGTATATTATACAATATTTGAAAGCAAATGATTTATGAAAATGAATTAGTTGTAGTTTTTTCAATTTCTATTCAAATATATTTTACGTGGAATTATATTTTGAACTTTATTATGTTGTATATACAATAAAAGTAATTATTACAATATTTTGATTTAACGACTTACAAGGTAATTTTAAAAGCAGTAAACTATTTTTAAATTATACAAGTTGTTTATAATAAATAAATTATATTATATTGCAATAAATTTTCTTAGAAAAAGACAATTGAATAACAAGTATTTATTATTAAAAGATTTTGATTTTTGAAACATTAAAGTATATCATAATTTTAGCGTTTTTATACGGACGAACTATTATTAATAAGTTCATATATGTATTAAATAAATATATTTATGGGTTTTTATATATATTTAATATATTTAACAAATTTATATTTTTGTGGATCTATTCTGAATATTATAAATATTGTACATAGAAAATCATTCAATTTATATGTTCAAAATTAAAAAACATTGTTTTTATATCTTTAGAGCATTGTATCTTTTTGAATGTACTCATGAATTTTCTATTAATTTGATATTTTGCTATTTAGTTGTTTGAAAAATTTTTCTGTACTTGAAATAGGAATATTTTAAAAATGTATTTCGTATATAATATTTTTGACATCTCATACCATAAAGAAAATCAAAAATATCATTATAATGAATACAATTTTGTATTAATTATATGAGATAACATAAATGATAATATAAAAAACTTTGATAAAATAGCAATAAAACATTATTACAATTCGTAAAATATTTGTAAGATGGATAATTAAAATTATCTATAGTATATAATAAATAAATATGATTATGTATCGTAGAATATTTGACAGAAATATTTGTTGTTGCTTTCTACACAATGAACTATTTTTTAAATTTCGCAATTTTTTGCAATTTAATTATAGACTGTTGGAAATTCCAACAAAATCTATAAGTATTATATTACTTTTTAATGGGAAATTTAATATTGATATTGGTAGAATATTTATTTTTGATTAATTGAAATATGAAATCTTATATTTAAAATACTGCATAAGAATAATACGATATGTAAATTACATATTAATATAAAATATTATTTATCGAATATTGTGCAGTGAAAACTTAACGATGATTGGTTATAATATGCAGTTTCGTTTCAAAATTTCGTTCTGAAGGAAAAATCAAGTACTAGAATCAAATATAAAGTAAGAGTATCGTAATGATACCAAATATGAAAAAAATATATAGGTAAATTTTTTTATTGCTACAGAAGCAATGTGTATATTATAATAGTGATTATATTTTAGAAATTTATGAATTATCTATGTAAATAGAAATCTATATATTATTTATGATTATATATTGACATTGGTAAATATTAAAAAATTTCTAAAAAATTCTATTATAGCCGACAAAATTATGATAATATTCTTTAAGTTTTGTGGTTGTTCTTAATTTATAAATAATTAAAGTTTTTTGTTTTATTATGCATTAGAGTATTTTAAATTATTTGGTCATTACTTAAAAAATAAAAATAAGACTTAATTAAATTAATAACTATATATAAACTGAAGATTCAAGGTAATTGAAATATTGATTAGTTATATTTAATTTCAATTTGATTAAATATTGATATTAATTAAATACATACTGAAAAAGTTCTGCATTAGAAGCTCATACTTGTAACAATCAATTATTTTATAATATAAGCATCAATTAGAAATTTGAAATGAATAAAAGTTGATAAAATTGAGAATATTCCAATACTAAATAATTTAAATCGAATTTAAAATTTATAATTTGTTACATAGAAATAATGAAATAATATAATATTTTATATAGAATAAAAAATATTCCATTTGAAATTAAATTGTCAAAATTAAAAAATTGATTTATAAATTCAATTTACAATTGAAAGTATTTACGATTCCTAAATTAAGTAATCTAATTAAAAATTCTCAGAATTTTGTAATGGAAACTGTATTTTATGCATTATGTGCCGACAATAATATTACAAAACTATATAGAAAATTTAAGCACCTTTACTAATATTGTGCTTATTATATCACTTATTCATTTTCTACAGCTCTTTTAACGCATCTCATATTTTTTTTTTATAATTAAAAAACACAATTGTATGTATTTATTCTGTGCCATTGCTCGATTTTCCATTCGACACGATATGATTTAGTTTCTGACCCTTCAATGAATTTCAAATAAATGCCAATACAACACTAATTTCAGGTAAACTATTGTTGAAAAATCCAAATATTATTTTATTTTGCATTCTCGGCTACAATAACTCAGAATATAGGTTAATTTCAGATACAATACAATTAACTTTTATTATTACTAAATTTCTTTTTATATTCTATATTAGTTTTTTATTTCTTTAACCTATATGGCTTAAAAACTTATATAAAAATAAATATAATTCGAATTTAACATTAACATAATTTAGTGTATAAATAATAAAAAGATCTATTAAATTGATTTTCAATTAATTTTATATTAGTTGTTTTTTCTTAATTACTTTTATCAAAAAATTATTATATTAATGTATTTTTATATTTAATCTACTCGATTATGTTATTTAATTAATAACTTTTATTATTTAAATATATGAAATGTTTTAACTATCTAAAATTAAATTAGCTAATTAAAAAGATAGTGAATTTTATTTTCTTTTTCGTTACATATTAAGTTTATATATATTGTTTGGTAGCTTTTTTTATAAAATTAATTATTTATATTTTAGTTAAATTATAAAAAGTATTAAGAGAATTACTTTGTAAAGATAATTTTAAATAGAGAAACATACTCTTTTAAATGTCACATAAATATTCACATTATAGTATTAATAACAATCTTATTCGTTAAAGGCTTTCTTAATGATCTTATAAATAATAACTTTATTAAATAACTATACTCTTATTAATTAACCACATTTTTAATTGAACATTTTGTCTTCGACCATAAATTTATCATATAAGATTAATAAAACAATAGGACAATTATTTTAAATAATTGACTAATTCAACGATGATATAACTAATTAAATGAATAGCAGCATAAATAAAAATATAATTATATATCAACATATATTTATGTGATTATTATATCTTTAGATACAAAATTTTAAAACCACTTTATAAATTTTCAGTTATAATCTGATTTCTTCAACTGATCCATCTTTAGAAAGAATTTCATTTGAGAATGATCATGAAATGGATAAAGAAAATATAGACTTATTTCAAGATTGTAGTGATTTATTAAAAATATCAAAAACATCAGGTATAATATTTAAAAATAAGAATTTTTTTGTAATAATATTTTTACTATAAATAATCAAAATTTTAACATAATTAATAATAACTTATTCCTATATACATTAATATAGAAGATAAGCCAACTCTATTATCAAATGAACAATCAAATAAGTCAAACTATAGTTATAACTCAAATAACACGATTGACATAAATAATATTAATAATGTACATCAGAATGAAATTGATTATAATAAAGAAAAAGAATTTATAATGAATCCTAATAAAGAATTCTTTGATAATTCAGAAGATTTATTAATCTCCAATCAACTATTATTAGATAAATTGGATACTAAGTCTGAAACAGTAAATAAATTTATGTTTCCCGATGATAATCTGTTAAATAAAAATCAAATAAATACTTATTTGAATTGTGATCAAAATGAAACACTGCAGCAAAAATATTCGGATTGTAGTATTAGCGCTGATATATCTAAACAAATGTTTAATTATTTACAATACAATGATTTAAAATGTAAGATTATAGATCTACATAGGAGAGAGCATATTTTCACTGTTAAACAGTGTTGGAGTGAGGCACTCAGATTGCGAGAAATGAGAAATGAGCTGATTCTTCGAAAAAATAAAATACTTTATGAAAATCGTGATCTTAAGATAGATAATGATACAAGGCAGTTTGGATTAAATATGATTGAAACTAGAAAAATGCTAAATGAAAATAGAGTAAAATTATGTAATTCCATGTTCTACAGGTTAGCTTATTGTAAACATGTCAAATAATAATTTAAGCATATTTTATTTTAAATTATGTATTCAATTGAAATTATACAGCTTTGATAATGTGGATAATTAAAATATGATCACATTACTTGCATTGTTGTGCTATATGAAAGATATAATTAAAAAAATCATATTTCATAAAAGTTTAAATTAAAAAATTGAATGATTATAAATTGATTAAATTATAATTAATTCATTTCAACTTAATTCATTTTGTAGTGATGAAGCAAAATCTCTGTGGAAGCAATGGAATAGTGAAGATGATACTATATCAAAAATTGAAATGAATACTATGAGAAATGTTATTTTAAACGAGCTTGAAAATGAATGGAAAAATTTAGCTCTTAATGATAAAACCATATTTCACAATTGTATGACAGAGTTATAACAAAATCTATTCTCCAAGATGAACAGAAACTTCCAGCAGTAATCCGAAATGCAAAAGTTCAGTAACAACGTACCAACCTCTTAACTGTATAAAATGTTTTATTCTGAATTCTTTAAAATTAACCTTTAAATAAAATAAAACAACATACAACTTACTTTTTTACCAAATAATAATAAATCAAACTTTACTTTCAATAATTTTATATCATTAATGTGAATGGTTAATTATCATACTTTTATTTTCTACAGATAGTACTTATTATTTTAAACAATATTTGTAGGATATTGAATATAAAAAAAGAATCAATAAATATCAAATGTATATCATTTAATATTATATATACAAATGATATATATTTGATATTTATTTATTTCATTTTATAAGAGGAATTGTATAAATCACATTTGAAATTTAGAATATGGACTTGGATAAGATATAAAAAGTTGAATAGATATTTTAAAATAAAATTTTTTATTAATATATATAAACTAGAGATTCAGTCAATTTGAATAGTGCTTTCATATAAACAATTAAAATCATAAATAATATATGATATATTTAGGAATTTAAAAAAAAATATTTTTAATTGGCATTCCTATTATTATATTTTTAATTACCAAAGTGATTTTTATTTATGTAATTGTATTAAATTTTTCTTTTCTAAACTCTATTCAGCTTTATTTCAATTGTGAAGTTCCATTTAAGAGTAAATCTGATGGTTATTAATATATCAAAAGATTAACTAGACACAGTTTCAGAATGCTTGATCATAATTAAACAAATTATCTATTTTGTTCAGTAGCTTTTGTCTAAAATACATTTATATTTTACAAAATAAAAAAATATTCAAAACGATTTAAAATCATTACTACTTAAAAAAACATGTCCTAATAACAAAATGTTTTTGTTTTTGGTAAAATTTTCGATTTTTCTTTTCTAACAATTTCAATTAACAGAAATTGAATTGTATAAAAATTAAGTATATACAAATTTGTTGTTTGAATAAATTGTAACAGTATCATAATTGAAAAAAATTAATTTAATCATTAAAATTTAAAGCTTTATTATATAATATTTTTATTTTTTAAATATTTAAATATATTTAATTTTTTTTTTAATTTTGAATTTTCATTTTTGTATACAAATTTTTACATAAAAGTTGTTCTGCAATTGAATTGGGAAAAAAATTAAAACCAATATCATTTAAAAATAAATTTACTTTATACGATAATTAAAAAATATAATCAATACATAAATAAACAATGTGTGTATTAACATAACTTGAAAATTTAAATTAGCTCTAAAAATAAAAAAATGAGGTCTTCGAGATTCGGTATATATATATGAATTTAAGTAAACATATTTTGGCTTTATTTATTTTTATTGATTCAGTTACAAATTAGATTTATTTTCATAAATTGTAGAACGATTTATATTTTTAAATTTTGTTTACAAAATTAATGATGTTTTTGCAATTTTTCATTGAATAAGATATAAAATCTAAGCTTATCAATATTTTTAATGTATTTAAGTATTTATAAATTGAAAAAAATATTACATAACAGTGAACACCTAAACCGAAATGATTAATTTTTTATTTTCAACTCTGATCCTTTTAAATTTATTTAAAACAAGAAATATATATATATATATAATTTGATTTGCATTATAAGTTAAATAATTATTTTATATGTAATGAAACTATCCCAGACAAACTAGTTTAGATTTTAAACCCAAATTAACAAAATTAATAATATAAATGCATAAAATACTACATAAAAATTAATTTATTCTTATTTTTAACAATTTCTTTTAAATAAAAGTAAAGATTTAAAAAATATTAATAATGATTAATTTCGCAATATTGAGTAAAAATAATGTATTTAATTTTAAATATTGCAAGTGAAATGATTTAATTGAATTCTATATCTCTAAAAATATAAAAAAATAAATGTAGTTTTAATTAAAATATTTTTATTACTTATGTCAAAACGGTAGGTTCCATTTAAATATAACTCTAGTTATCTATTTTTAAGAAGTCCTATTATTAAGAAAAATCATTTTTAGCTAATTATTTTCTTATGAATTGTATTATTTGTCTATATTGTAGTTAAAGACTATTTAGATAATTTGCCATCAATTAAAATACTATTATATACTATACATTTTATACTGTAAAACTGTCAATGTTGACTTAAAATAACATTAACTTTTTCAAATTCAATAAAAATGTACTACTTCTTTTATTAGGCTTCAAAAATTTTTAACGTTCAACATAGTTTATTCTAAAAATTGATTATGTCAATTTGTGTAATATAACTATGTTTCAATATTCAGCTATTTCATAATATATTAAATTACCGATTACAATACGTAAATACATTAAAATATTATTTAATAAAATATTTTTTAATTTACTTGAGACTATTTTTTATGTTAAAACGTAAATCTATTTTAATGAAAATTGACTCTTGTGAATAATAAATAGAAATTGGTAACCGTTAATTTTGTTTAAAGAAAAAACAGAATTTTTCTATATAGTATATAGATTTGATATGTGAAAAAAATATATGAATTAATTTGAATATTGATGTGATATGACTGTACTATAAATGATTTATTACATAAGAACACTTCCGGAAAATGAAAATTTAAAAAGTTTTATAAAGTAAATAGATCATAAATTTATATATTTGGAGTAAAAAAACTGAAAGGCACGAATAAATTAGTTTATAGATAGAAAACAAATTTTATTTCGATAATTAATTTTTTTCTGTTTTTTATATATTCATATTTATAATTGAATTGTGAGATGAACAAGTTAGATTTTTATCTAAAACTTACAATTACATTTAGTTCCATTAATAATAACTGACGTCAATCAATTAATAAGATAAAAAACTACTGATGATAAAATCCATGGTATTTTAATAGATCTATTCTTCAAAGAGGAGTTGGTGAAATAGAAACAATATTATTCAATATTTAAAATTGAGTTTCCATTTAAATTGATAACCTTATAGATCGAGCTGCCAAAATCTATAAGTCCTATTAATAGAATATATAATAGAATAAAGGAAAAAGATGTTTAATTTTGTTAGAATAGTATTAATAATATTGAACTAGAACTACATTCAAGCTATCACCAATTTTACAGTAATTTAGTCGATTAAAACAGATTAAAAAATAGTTAGGATACCAGATTTCATAATAACTTTATAAGTTTGTAAAGAATTTTCATCTCTCAAATTTAAGTAAAAAAAACATGAATAATGAGTGTCTCTTTAACCAATGCAACTCACATTGAGTAAACTCAATAATAAGTACTTTCCTGTTACCAATTATAATTATAATTATAGGTCATAGTTTTAACTAATATTTTCACTAACACTATATCTAAATTGTCATGGTTTTATGATGTAATGTAGATTTTATGATATAATATAGAAATAGTTATGTTATACATCTGTAAATAATTATATATCACGTTTTTAATATATATGTAAATATTATCGTTGACAATATATAATTTTGACATTTTTAATAGCTAAATTCTCTATTGGCATAAAAAATGTCAAATCAAGATTTCTATTTAATTTCAAAATATTCTACTAAGATTTTTCCTATCTAAAAAAGATTTATATGATATAAATAAATCCTTGTATAGAAAGCATGCAATAAGTAAACATTTTATTTTGAAACAATAAAATATAAAAACATCTTTATTGAATATTAGCTTTTTCTACTTTTCAAAAAATATAAAATTTATTGTCAGCCAACAATAATTAAGTACATAATTAAAGTGAAATAGTATATTCTTAGCATTTTATTAAATTTATTATTTTTTAATAAGTGTATATGCATTAAATTGTAAATCCTAAATTTACAAAATTTGTAGAAATGGCGACAAATATTGAGAAAAAGTACTGTAAAAAGTAAAAAGCACTGTAAAAGTTTACAGTGTAACTGTAAAGTACAGGATTCAACTTATTACATATTATTTTTTTTAATTTATTTTTATTTCGTTTAAAAAATTATTTTATTTTGTTATAGAAACTCAAATTAATAATGCCATTTATAGTTTTACACAATTTATATACTAATTATTAATATTTTAATAATTATTATGATTTCTTACTTATATTTGAAGACGAAACTGTATTTAAAATTTTTTCAAATGAAAAATTTCGACAACATATCTAATTATATTATAGTAACCTAATATACTTTAAATAATTTTTTTGTAATTTAGAAAATAAAAATTTTAAAATTTTAATATAATTTTTAATAAAAAATAAAAAAAATTTTATAACGTTAATAGTTGACTTTAAAGATATTAAAATCAGATTGTATTCATATTTTATGAATATCATATTGTATGATATCTAATCGACTATTTTTTATATTTAAGACTTCGTCTTAAGAATATTAATAAATGAAGTGTTCTAAATGAACTGTTTTTGAAAAAAATTATTTTTGTGTCATTAATAATTATTAAAAAAATATATAAACGTATGTACAATATTTTAAATTATTATTTTATTATTATTATTTATACGTATTATTTTAAAGTTTAAAATGATAATATTAATTTGACAGAAGAAATATAAATTTATTTTTAATTCAATATCTATCATTATTTCTTTCACATTTATTAGTTTTCTATTAATGTTTATTTTAAGCCTTTATAAAAATTTCAACAAAAATGTTTTATTTTAAAATTGTATTATAAAAATGATTATGTTAGACACAAAAATTTTAGTAAGAAAAATTAAAAAATAAATTTATTAAGAAAAATTAAAAAATATATTTATTAAGAAAAATTAAATAATGTATTTATTAAGTAAAATGAAAAAAATGAAAAATAAAAAAGTTAAATTTTTTTATTTAAAAAGTGAATGGGAATATAATTAAATTTTTAGTGTCAATGTTTCATATTTTATACACATAACGGTTGCCTAATACCATTCTGCATACTGCGTTTCAAATGAATGTCAATATGAATTATGAAGATATTAATACAAATATTTTTAGTAATTTGACAGAAAAGTAACAATAAAATGTTATTAATTAAAATTTTGTGAATATAAAAGTATCACCAAAAAGAATTACTAAGTAAGTAACATTTAATAAATAACTGAAAGA